TCCCTCGTCGTTGTCGTCGTCGGCGTCGCCGTCCTTCCTCCTTCGTCTTCGTTCGTTCGCGTCGTCGCCGTCCTCCCTCCTACCTCGTCGTTGTCGTCGTTGTCGTCGTTGTCGCCGTCGTCGTCCTTCCTCCTCCCTCGTCGTCGCCTTCGTTGGCGTCGTCGTCGTCGCCTTTGTCGTCGTCGGCGTCGGCGTCGTTGTCGTCGTCGAAGTCGTCGGAGACGTCGTCGGTGTCGTCCTAGTCGTTGTCGTCGGTGTCGTCGTAGTCGGGCTTAACAGGTTTTGCAAACCAAGTCGCGGGTGGGTTGGTGGGATGTTTGCGCGAGCAGTGGAAATGACGACTTCAAGTTCAGCAGAGTGGGCTGCACCACATAGCTTACACCAGAAAGACTGCACCAAATAGCTCACACATCCGCAGTATAATGACCTACTGTTTGGGGACCACGCTTGCCAACACGTTCACAGACACAGATGTGTATATATGTGTACATATGGATACCGAGGTCTACAGACATATATGTCGATTTTGCATATTGGTAACGGGATCGGTTGTTATATCGCAAGACTGATAGATAGGGATATCTAGCGATTGCTGTTGATGTTGTTAGATAGGTCGCGCACCTGACCGGGCGCCAATCGCGCACAACAAATACACCCCTTTCCCAAGCCCCATTTTCACCCGACGGGTGGTCCTGTAGGTATTGTATACGCACTTCCTCGTCGAGTTCGCCCACATCTTCGCATCTATAGTCGAGTGGTCGTTCTGGGCGCGATACGTCCCTCGGGCGTTACCGCAGTTACCCAGACTCGCTTCCCAATCCAGTCTCTGATCTTTTCCAGCTTGTGCCTCATCTTAAGCACGTGCTCCTGTTCATGATGTTTTCAAGCTAGTCTTCGTCATCTGTGTGTAGCTCATTCGGTGCATGGTCCTTCCCTCCTCGCCCTCCTCCCCCTCTCTCCCCCTACCTCCCCCTCCCCCAAAGTCCCCTTCGCCTTCCCTCCTTCTCTCCCCTGGTGCCCCACGTCGTCCTCCTCCTTTTCTTCCCTCCCCCGCCAGTCTTCATTTAGTTAGTTTAGTATTTTTTCGGCTCTCCTGGCGTTGCGTCCCAGAGCGTGCAAGAGTTAGGCGCGCGGCGACCATCGCAGGATCCGAGCCTGCACCACCGCCTGTTTTCGCCCTTCCCATCGCTCGTCGTGGTCGTCGTCATCATCCTCCTCCCTGGGCGAGTCCGCGTAGCCAGGACCAGATCTCCGCCTCCTCCTGTTCTGTCTGCTCCCCCTTTGCCTCATTCTCCCCTCGTGCTTCTGCTCTCTCACCCCCCTCTCTGTTTCTCTCTCTCTCTCTCTCTCTTCCTCTCACTCTCTCTTTCTCTTTCTCTCTCTCTCTCTCTCTCTTTTTTTTTGTTTTTTTGTTTCTTCTCTCTCTCTCTCTCTCTCTCTCTCTTTTTGTTTGTTTTCTCCCCCTCTCTCTCTCTCTTTCGTTTCTTGCCATTATGTCTCTATCCCTCTCTGTCTCTCTCTCGTTCTCTCTCCCTCCTGCAGATCATTACAAGAATCTGGCAGGAGTCCTGTTCGAGCCAGTGCTGACCAGTGGGCAGCGAAAACGGTGGGAAAACAACCCTTGGGAATGGGGGAAGGAGTGCACTGCCTACTCGTCTGGCATTGCCTATTCGGACCAGCGGGTTCGCGCGAAGGGGAGGAGGGGAACATTGGGAATGGTGGTGGAGACGAGAAGGAGGAACAGGAGGAACAGGAGGGAAACAAGGAATAGCGCAACTGGCTCGCAATTGCTTTAGCTTCGTTTTTTTCATCGCAGCGCACACTCCTCCGCAGCGCCAAAGAGCGAGTCCAAAGCGAGAGCAAGCAAGCAACAACGCGGCCGCTCGCTGTCCGAGGCAGGCGGGCTTAAACAGAGGAAGAGGAGGAGGAAGAGGAGGAGGAGGAGGAGGAGGAGGAAAGGAAAGGAGCGGGGACAGAGAGGGAAAAACCATCAAACCATTGCGGTGCCCAGCTTCGTCATAGCATCCGTGGCTCCCTAGGACCTTCTCCCTGTGAACACGAGGCTAATGCAGGGCACTCGAAACATCTGAAAACCTTGGCTTGGGCTCCGTGCGAGGGTCTCTTCTATGTCGCATCAGGCTGCGCTCGCAGGCTGTTCTTGTTGTTAGGGTCCAGTCATTCACTGACTTCAGCAGTAAGGGTAGGAGGTGCGGTAGGAAGGGGAAAGGGGAGGAGGAGGAGGAGGAGGAGGAGGAGGAGGAGGGGATATGGACTCACTGGTGGCAGTTGCCTATGCTCACGTCTGTGAGCGCGAGCACTCAGCACTCGACAACTTGTGCTCCACACAGTGCTTCGCATTTGGTCATCATTCGTCATCCTCCTCGTCGTCCTCCTTGTCGTTCTCTGCCTCTACATCCGCGTCATCGTCTTGCCCGTCCCTCTGCTTCCCTTCCCACTCCTCCGCTGCTCCCGCCTCAGCAATATCATGCATGCTCTAATGCCTCTTGGCGTCCCTGTCTACCCTCAGTGGCGCAGACAGTATTGCAGAGTTGGTTCGGCACCTCATCTTCGGCGCGTTGCAGGCGCCGGCGAAATTTTTAGTGATCAGTGTCCTCACGCTCCTTCGCGTCCTGTGCCTTTCTCTCTCCCTGCCTCCCTGCCTCCGTCGCACCGGGACGTGTGTAGGCACACAGTCCCACTGGTAGTTCAGGGGAAACGTTAGGGGGGGATAGGCTCAGGGGGGCATGCATCACCCCCGATCGCCCATTCGCTCGTCACCGACAGGGGCCCGATAGCCCACCCCACCCAGGACCGTGCGGGTTCGCTGTCGGGGGCCTATCGCCGATCTATCGGCGACGTATCGCCGATTCCAAGCCGATCGTTCCCACCCCGTCCGAGCCAGTTTCCCCCTGACGTTTCACGGGCACGTGGACCAGCTTGCCTATCGCAGGCAGGCCCGAATTCGGTGCGTTGCTGGAGCAGCGCCAGAGGATTTGATTTGTCCGCCACACATCTCCCCCCATAACAAAGCTTTCTGCCCAGGCTGCTACTATGGACTGGCGTCAGTAGCGACAGACACAGGCGCAGCCAAAGGTGAAAAGAGAGATCACCGCTTCCTCCTTCCCCCTCCACTCCTACGCCTCCGCCTTGTTCTGAAATTCTCAGCCTTCCTTCTTGCTCCTTCCTCCTCAATTGATCCTCCTTCTTCGTCCCTCCTCCTCCTGCGTGCTCCTCTGCCTCTCTCCTCCCTCCTCTACTCTCTCTGCTCTCTCTTCTATTCTCCATGCTCGCGGCCTTCTGCCCTCTCCCCCTCTTCTCTCTGCCTTCTGTTCCTTGACGCTTGCTTCTCGGCCATCTTTCCTTCTCTCTCCTCGCTTGGGAGGCTGTAGGGGCCGCCTACGGGGCATCTTGCGCGGGCGGTCCTGGAGACCGCTGGCCCTTTGGGGGCCGTCCTGCTGGCACTGTTTCTTTTTGGGGGGGGGCCTCAGCGGCGAGGGCGGACGCCGGCGCGTTCGGACCGCCGGTGGGCCGCGCCAGGCAGCGGCACACTAGACACCAGACCAGCGGAAAAGAAGAGGGCGGCCGCAGAGGGGGAACGCGGGGAAGGCGTAGAGAGTCTTCCCCACGAGGCGTGCGCAGGCGGCCTCAAAACCGGTGTACTTGAGATGAGCGGCCAGTGCGAGCTGCCGAAGGAGTGGGCAGCGCGAGGTCATCCCCTAACAGAGCGGGCCAGCTCCTCACATCGACGGACATTGCATGGGCGCTTTGAGCGCTGCCTCCGCCTGGGACAGGGCAAGGCCAGACGAGGCTGGACGAGGCATGGCAGGCCTCCAAGATGGCGCTCGTGGGGCCATGTTGGCCCAAGCCAGCCTTCAGCATGGCTCATCAATGCCCCACGCCGGGCCCAGCATGGCCCGGGGCTTTCCAGGGGGAGAGAATCCCGAGGGGCAACAGCGAGCGGAAAGCACAGTATTCCTCAGACAGTGCTCGCACTAATGGGCTCTTACCCAAAGCCGTCCTTGAGGGCTTCTCATTGAAGATCTTGTCTTGGCTTTCCAGGTTTCGCCCGGTGCCCGCCCGTGGGCGCCTCGTCGCCGTCACGTTTGCTTGTTACATAAAAATGTAGGTTTGTCCGAGAGCTTGGGTCCAGGATGGTGGGTGTGTCTGCACTCTTGGTGTTGCTAGAAGTGCATGCCCGGGCCATGTTCTGATTGTCCAGGTGCAGCTCCAGCCCAGCTGCAGCTCCAGCTGTGCTCCAGCTTCAGCCCCAGCTCCAGCCCTAGCTCCAGCTCCAGCCCCAGCTTCAGGTCTAGCCCCAGCTCCAGGTCCAGCTTCAATTTCAGGTCTAGCCCAAGCTCCAGCCCAGTTCCGGCCCAGCTCCAGCTCCAGCTCCAGGTCAGCCTCGGGTCAGCTCCAGCCCAGCTACCGCTCCAGCTTTGCTCTAGCCCCAGCTCCAGCTCGGGCTCCTGCTCTATCCCTAGTTCCATCTTAGCTCTAGCCCAAGCTCCGGCCACAGCCCAAGCCCCAGGTCTCAGGTTGAGCTCCAGCCGAGTTTCAACCAATCTCGAGTCCAGCTCCATCTTCAGGTCCAGCCCAGGGTCAGCTCCAGCTTAGATCTAACTCCTGCTCCAGCCCAGCTTCAGTTCGAGCTCCGTCTTCAGCGCCAGCTATAGCCCTGTTTCAGCTTCAAGTCCAGCTTCAGCCTTGCGTTCTCGATTGCCATCTTGTCAGCTCCCACGCACAGCTTCCCACACAGGATGTCGGCAGTACAGCCGAGAGGCATGGGTACACATAGACCGACGCCATGTCTGGTTCATTTTGAACAGGACTCGCTGTCGGTGTCGATGCGGACGTTGTCCATTTGGGAGAGAAGGCCGCCTACCCAACAGCGGCCGCTGTCGGTCTTGGACAGCATATGTTGTTTGACATCGTACGCGTGCCTTCCGTACCCATTTCGGGCGTCCAAACAAGTGACTTCCCCGTGCAACATTCATCACCTCATGGCGCGCCTCAGTAATGCTGCCCGCGTCCATCGGATACGGATCCTTGGATAACGATGGGCAGCGACTGCTCCCATGCTCTGCGCACGACGTCTACTCTTGTTAAGCTTTTGCATTTCCTTTGCTTGTGCCACTTCAGATCAGTTCCGATCTGATCGATCCGGTCCGACATCGATTCTGGCCAGCCCGACCCGATGCAATTCCGATATGCCGACGATCCGATGCAGCCCCGTGCTTTGCATGGCGCTGTTGTGCATCCTGGCGCAGCCGATCCGATCCGATTTCGATTCCGTGCCGACGCAGCCCGATCCGATGCACATTTCGATTCGATCCGAGTTACCGAGTCGAAACTGACTGTTTTTGTTGGTATTCTTCTTTTCCATGCCCTGTCGAGGCCGCGGCGGACCAGGCTCGCGCGTTCATCAGGGCAAAGCGAGAGGGCATCCAGGCGCGGTTCTCCAAGGCCCCCCCGCCTCGGAATTGACGGCGGCAGTTGCTGAAGAGAAGAGCATCAGAGGGGCGATGATGACGACGACGACGATGATTCGAAGAAGAAAGAACGGCGTAAACATACTTGTTCAGAGGTCTGCGCGGATCTCTTGGATCTGCGCTGGCGTCCCTGGCGGCGCTTCCAGCGCTGCCCCTGGCGCGCTCCGGCTTTCGGCGCAGATCCATCAAATCCGTGCGGACCTCCGATTGTTTATCTTTACGTTGTTGTTATTCTTCTAGTGGCGAGTCGCATGACGATGATGATGATGGCGATGGCGACGTTGAGAGGAACAGGAGGAGCAGTAAGAAAAGGGCGAGCACATGCTTTCGGACCTGCTACGCGTTGCGTTCCGAGCACGGCGTACAGTGTGCGGAGAGAGTTGCTTCGCTCTTGATTGGTGTTTTTCGGACAGTTGTCTGGACGATTTGAAGATGTGCTCCCGCCGATGACTGACTCGAGTATTCTGCACCACGACGGTCGGCGTGCGGCCCCAGACTTTGCGCACAGGCTCCTGCAGGCCGGCCACTCGTGCAGGGAGGAGGAGGAGGAGGAGGAGGAGGAGGAGGACGAGGAGGAGGAGGAGGAGGAGGAGGAGGAGGAGAGGAGGAGGACGAGGAGGAAGTTGAGGAGGAGGCGGACGAGGATGATGATGATGATGATGATGAGGAGGAGGCGGAGGAGGGGACGATGATGATGATGATGAGGAGGAGGAGGAGGAGGAGGAGGAGGAGGAGGAGGAGGAGGAGGGATGATGATGTGGCGACCTTGCCCCTCCCCTCTCGCGCGCCTGGAGGGTACGCGCGTTCGCCTAGCGGCCACCCGTTCCACGCGTGGTTTTATTCGCCTCCTCGCAGCCTGCCCACGGCTTGCGCGCAAAGCCTCGCTCAACGCACGCCGTACGTCGCTTGATACTCGACTAGACGAATGAGTGACCTTTCGCCGGAGTGACCTTTGGTGCGGGCACAGATGGGTCCCCAGACGGCTAAGAACGAGGCAGTAGCAGCTGCTTGCGCGCCCAGGTTTGGTCCCCCCGCGGCCCCAAAAAAGTCGCGCACCAAAGGTCACTCTTACCCAGGGTCACTCCTGCGTGTAGCCGAGACACGCATCATGCACGCCCGCTCTTGGCCAATCAATAGCAGCGCTTTTTCGCCATGGGGGAAACGGGTCCTGAGGGAAACGGGTGTTGAGTTTCTTTTCTAATTTTCGGGTCCTCGGGGCCCTCCACGGGCCCCAAGACTGTCAGAAAACGACTCAGGATGAAGACCTCGTCCTGAGGGAAGGCCCCAGGGTCCAGGACCTGCTTCCCTCAGGACCCGCTTGCCCCTTGCTAACTTTTTACCTCCGCTGGCCTGCACCTCACTTCGCACACCATCGGCATCCTCTCAGTTGTTGTACGGTTGCCAGTGCCCCCCAGTGAGTTCCCCCAGTGCCCCAGTTTGGCCAGAGAGCGACAGAGGAGGCGTGTCGTACCAGGACGCCAGATACACGTTGCGCGACCGGCCTGGGCGAGAGCTGGAAACACACTTGGCCAGATGTCCTTCCGGCTCTCGGCCCTCCTGTGGCCAGGCACGCTGATCCCTCACATCAGTATTCAGCAAGTGGCCTCCACATGTTCCGAGTGTGAATCCAGCCGTGTGTGTGTGTGTGTGAGTGTGTGGTTGCCGGCTTGCCCGAGCGCTCGTGCGGATTGCCTCTGCCGCGCTGCGACGTAAGACTGTTTGTGTGTGTGTGTGTATGCGTTTGAGTGGTTGCTTCCCGGCCGCGCGCGTTCTCGCGCTCGACTGCCTACGCCGCGCCGCCGCGGTCGTGGCCGCAAGGCCGAAAAGTGCCTGTCTGTGTGTGTGTGTGTGCGTGTGCGTGTGCGTGTGCGTGTGCGTGTGTGTGTGTGTGTGTGTGTGTGTGTGTGTGTGTGTGTGTGTGTGCGTGCGTGTGTGTGTGTGTGTGTGTGTGTGTGTGTGTGTGTGTGTGTGTGTGTGTGTGTGTGTGCGTGTGTGCGTGTGTGTGTGTGTGTGTGTGTGTGTGTGTGTGTGTGTGTGTGTGTGTGTGTGTGTGTGTGTGTGTGTGTGTGTGTGTGTGTGTGTGTGTGTGTGTGTGTGTGTGTGTGTGTGTGTGTGTGTGTGTGTGTGTGTGTGTGTGTGTGTGTGTGTGTGTGTTTGTGTGTTTCCAGCTCCCTGGTAGCCGCTGAGGTGGTCCTGGAGCGGATAAACACCGAGCTGGATGAGCTGCAGGTGCGCGCGGAGGCCGTGGCCAGGCAGCTCGCAGATTTCAAGAAGGCCATCCTGCCGGGCGGTGTTCCTCCGCTCCCTCTCTTTCATTCTCCTCTCCTCTTATTCCTTTTCCCTCCTTTTCCTGCTGCCTCCTCCTGCTCCTCCTGCTCCTCCCCTGCCCGCATATTCAGGGCGTGCTTCGGCCGTCCACCAATCTCCGAGCTTCCATCACAGTCACCAGGCCTCCGACGGCTAGATGTTTTTTAGTCGCGGGCCTGGAACCATTCGGCCCCTTCTCAGGGCGAGTTTTTTTGTTCTCAGCCTAGGCCGTCACTATGATGGTCCTGGGGCCGGGGAGCAGACACCGGACGCCGAGAATGGCGGACAGAAGCCGGCCACATTTGGGGTGTCAAGCCACAGGCCTGGGCACCCGGGCATGCGAGGTCTTGATTTTTTCCATATGGGGTCCGTGGAAGTTCTGACCCTTTCCCCAGGGCCTGTTTTTTCCCCTCGAGTCTTGATGGTCCCGTGGTCCGGCACGGCCCCCCGACGGCCGAAAACTGCCAAAACTTGCCCGTCGTGTTTATTTCGCAGCCCGAGCACATCTGCGGACGTCTGGCCCTCTCCTCGAAACGGCGTCTGGGGACTCGATTCCGAGATCTCTCCTGTATTGCGCTCCGGCCAGGATCTCGAGGCGGCCCCGCCTGTGGCCACTCTCGAGAATTCTCGGGCGTCCGACAGCTGTGCTGAAACCGCAGGCTCCCGAGGTCCCGACCCCTCCCGCTCGGGGCAGTTCTTCGGCCCGAGTCCGTTCCTGATTGCTGCCCGAGGCCCTGACACGGCCCCAGGAGGCGAGGGAAGACGCCAGGACCGAAGAAGCAATCCATACGTGATTTTTGAAAATGATTTCGAGCAGAAGCCCACGTTTGCAAACCGCAGCCTGCGCGCAAGTCTGCACATTGAGATCGGGTGCGCGGGGGATGGCCTCGCTCTCTCTATCGAATTTCTTGAATGTGCTTCCCCCCCACTCACTCACTCAAGAGCCGCGCCTAGACGGCGAAATGGCGAACGAAACTACATGTACATGTCTGTAAGCTGCTACTGTGCCTCGGAGCTCGACCACCGGCAGGCCTTGTGCAAATGGCGCAGGATGGTGAACAGCAACGCTCGCGTGCAGGAGGGGGCGTGCAGGAGGAAGGAAGGGAGAGAGGGAGGGAGGGGAACGGGAAGGGGGGAGCTGGGGGGAAACCTTGGCAGTTACTTCGGACACCTGCTCTTCCAGGGCAGGTCGCAGGTCGAGCCGCGCGAGGTCTGCCCCCCCCCCCCCCTCCCCCTGCCCTGTGCGAGACCGCGCGCCGCGCCGCGCGGCCGCGCGCCGCCGCCCAGCCGCGGCAGGAGGCGTCGAGGCGGAAGACGGCGGCGGTGCTGCACGACGCGGCGGAGAAGGTCGGCGAGGCCGAGGCTCAGAGGAGGAAAAGGGAACCGATACCGCTGCCCTTCCCTCGGTTTCCCTTTTCGGGGGGCCTCCTGGGAGGCCGTTGTCCAGGCTGGATTCGCCTCGAACGTCTGCTCAGAACCCGGCCCGGGAGAGGTCCGGGGAGCAGCGGTATCGGTTCTGGTTTCCCCAGAGGCGCAGGTGCAGACGCTGGCGGAGGCGCGCCGCCCAGTGCCCTGGGCCTCCAAGGATGGGGGTCGGTGCAGAGGGGGTCGGGGGGGGTCGAGCCGCCGTATCGCCGATGCAGCGGCGATGCGGCTCGATGTGCAGCCCGATTTTCTCCACGCCGACGGCGCTGATGCATCGGCGATGCATCGGCGATGCGGCGTCGTCCTCCGACCCCATCTACTCGGACCCCATCTGGGAGGCCTCTAGGTTCTGCCTCCCCGGAAGAGACCCAGACATGCTCGCGTCGTGAAAGCCAAATCGCGATGGGTGGATGTTTGTTCCGTTTTCGGCTTCTGGAGACCCTCGCGGGGCCCGGAGGCCGTCAACAAATACGTACCCAGGATGAAGAAAAACGGGTCCCAGGAAGGGGTCTGGACCTCTGGGGTCCACATAGTGGAACATCACGACGACTTTCTTGGATCGGCGCTGGCACCCCCTGGCAGCACTGGCGGGGGCGCGCCGCTCGGTTTCATTGCAGCACGCGGTCTCTCATCAATTTTTCCTTCAGCGCCCCAGCAACGCTGCAAGTGCATCAGGCTAGGCTCCCCAACGGATCATAATCCCCGACCATCGGATGTGCCGCTTGCGGTCGGCCATTCAACTCGACATCACTTGGTTCAGAGGAGCAAGGGGTCATGAGTCATGATGATGATACATTCCAAGATGTCCAAGGTGTCCAGGGTTTCCTAGATCTTGTTGTTCACACGGGCTGCAACAAGGGCCGCTAGATGCTCCCGATTTTTTGGGACGTGTCCTGAGCCAATCGCATCATATCGTTATTCTGGTCCTAGGTCCTATTCTTGCCCTCGCCAGAGCCTGCCTCATTTTTGAGAGACTGATGCCTCGCGCGCCTTGCCCAAGCGGGCACGGGCACGGGCACCCCTTCCCGCACGTACCGTAATCGGCGCCTCCTAATCGCCCGCTCGCGATCGCTTCCCGCCGGAGCGCAGGTGGTGAAGCTCTTCCCCGAGAGCTTGGATGCTGCTTCCGTGGAGAGCCTCGAGTCTGCCTGCGGGCAGGCTGCCGTGGCCGAGAAGGAGCCGACGGAGGAGGAGGCGGAGGAGGAGGAGGAGAAGGAGGAGGAGGCGGAGGAGGAGGAGGAGTGGGACAAGGAGGAGGAGCAGGAGGAGCATGATCGTCTGAATGTCTTGCCCCTGCTGGATGGTCCTGGAGGCTGGATGGGTTGCGCCAGCGGCGCAGCGACTGCCAAAGGCAAGGCTGAAGGAGGGGAGCACAGTCCAGACGCCGAGATCGAGATACGGACCACTTCTGGCTCAGAGGGCGCCTCGGGTTTTCGGGCCGTTCCTGTGATCAAGGTCGGGGAACCCATTCGTGACCGAGGCTCGCCGTGGCCAGGGAAGCCCCTTCGTTTCTTGCAGAGTGTTCCGTATGGTAGCACGGTGACTGTAAGGAGGCGGAGGTGAAGGACGAGCAGGCATTGCAGCAGAAGGCAGGGACGGGAGCTGGACGATGAGCAGGAGCAGGAGCAGGAGAAGCACGCGGAGGACTGGGGGGCGCGATGGGCAGGTGCAGCATTAGCAGGAGCAGTGGGAGGAGGAGGAGGAGGAGGAGGAGGAGGAGGAGGAGGAGGATTGACAATCTTTCTTCCTATCCCCGACAGTAGCTGCAGACTGTGCGTCTTGGTTGGTGCCCCAGCCTCGCGTCGAGTGAAGAAACGTGGTATGGTTGTTACCGATGGCGCGCTTCCTCTACCTCCTCCCCGCATCCGCCCCTTAAAAAGAGTTCCGCTTGGTGAAATCACCCGTCTCCTCCTTCAGCATGCGAGCTTCTATGACGCGGAGTGCTGCCGCGTGCGGAATTGGAACCTGGAATTCCTCATTTTGTCTCCTCCTCCTTCTCATCATGTTCGTGACTGCTCTCCGTCTCCTTCTCCTTTTCCGTCTGTGCTGGCCTGGGCCCGTGCCCCCAGGTAGCCAGGCGTTGCGTCGAAGATACGTAATTTCTTATTTCCGTCTCCTGCTGCTCCTTCTGTGCGAACCCAGGCCCGCGTACTCGGCCCTGTGCTGAAGCCGCGCCATTTCTCCTTCTCCTTCTCACATCTCCCCCTCCTCCCTCTCATGTCTCTCTGTCTTGCACTCTCTCTCTCTCTATCCCTCTCTTCTCTCTCTCTCTCTCTCTCTCGCTCTCTCCTCCTGGCATGTTTTGCGTCCACCCCGGGTCCTGACCCCCAGGGGTCCTAGGAGGTCCCTCGAGGTCCCTGGAGGCTTCCAGAGACCCGACAGTGGCCAAGCGTAATCAAGAGAATCACACACACATTCTCCACAAGATGCTCTCCTCGATCCTCGTGGGTCGAGGGCGGAGCTTGGCTGCTGCTGCTGCTGCGCCTCCTCTTTCCTCTCCTCCTCCTCCTCCTCCTCCTCCTCCTCCTCCTCCTCGGTATCCTCCTGCTGCTCCTCCTCCTCCTCCTCCTCCTCCTCCTCCTTCTCCTCCTCCTCCATCCCCCCACAGGACGCCAGCGATGCGTACCAGCAGGCGAGGACGATCCTGAGCGCGCGGCGCTCAGAGTGGCTGCCACCAGCCGCGCTCGGTCCGGCCAATGCTGGCGGCGGGCCCAGATTTTCAGACTTGGCCTCACGCTCTGGGAGGGTAATGCCACTGCTGCTACTGCTGCTGTTGATGAAGATCTTGATGCTGCTGCTGATGATGATGCTGCTGATGATGATGAGGATGTTGATGATGCTGATGGTGATGATGCTGATGATGATGATGGCGATGATGAGTATGCTGATGAGTAGGCTGATGAGGATGATGGTGATGCTGGCGATGCTGAAGGAGGTGGTGATGGATGATGGTGATACTGTTGTTGCTGATGATGTTGATGATGCTGATGCTGATGCTGCTGCTGCTGATGCTGCTGCTGATGATGATGATGATGATACTGAGCATGCCGATGCTGCTTGTGAGGAGGAGGATGACGAGGAGGAGGAGGAAGAGGAGGATGAGGATGAGGATGAGGATGATATGTGGATGAAGATGAGCATGATGATGTTGAGGCTGGTGATGCTTATGATGATGCTGATGCTGCTGCTGGTTATGCTGCTGCTGATGACGATGATGGTGCTGATGCTGATGATGGCAGTTCTTGCGAACGATGCTGACGCTGCTGCTGCTGCTGCTGATGCTGCTGCTGCTGATGCTGCTGCTGGTGGGGCTGATGCTGATGCTGCTGCTGCTGATGATGATGATGCTGATGATGATGATGATGATGATGATGATGGTGATGATGATGATGATGATGATGATGATGATGATGATGATGATGATGATGATGATGCTGTTGCTGATGATGCTGCTGGTGATTATGCTGATGCTGCTGATGATGGTGATGCGGATCATGGTGAAGCTGGGTGTTGATGATGAGGATGCTGATGCTACTAATGATGATGATGCTGCTGCTGCTGATGGTGCTGATGATGTTGATGACGGTGGTGCTGGCGATGATGTCGCTCTTGGTGATGCTGATGATGCTGCGATTGCTGCTGCTGTCGGAGGAGGATGACGAGGAGGAGGAGGAGCAGGAGGAGGACGGTGATGGGGAGCAGGAGGATGATGATGAGGAGGAGGAGGAGGAGGAGGAGGACGACGAGGACGAGAGAGGAGAGGGGGAGGAGGAGGATGATGATGCTGATGATCAGTAGGAGGGGGGGAGGAGGAGGAGGAGGAGGAGGAGGAGGAGGAGGAGGAGGAGGAGGAAGAATAAGAAGAATCAGAGAACGAGGAGCAGGAGGAGGAGGAGGACGAGGAGGAGGAGGAGGAGGACAAGGAGGAAGAGGAGGCGGAGGAGGAGGAGGAGGAGGCTGTCGAAGAGGATGAGGAGGAGAGCAGTAAGAAGAGGAAAAGGAGGGGATGATCACAAGGACGAGGAGGAACACAGCGGGCGGAGGATGATGGTGATGACGAGGAGGAAACGGAACCGACGGAGGAGGAGGAGGCGCAGGAGGAGGAGGAGGAGGAGGAGGAGGAGAGGGAGAGGAGGAAGAAGAGGAGGAGGAGGAGGCGGTGGAGGAGGAGGAGGACGGGGATGACGAGGAGGAGGTGAAGGAGCGCGTGTGAGGAGGAATGGGAGTTTGAGTAGGACATGGACATCGATGAGGAGGAGGGAGGATGGGGAAAAGGAAGATGGAGGGGATGAAGACGAGGAGGACGAGAAGGTTCAGGAGGGCAATCTATGATGATGAGAGAGGGAGAGAGAGGAGAGGGAGCAGCGGAATGAGGAGGACGCTGAGAAGGTTGCTGAGGATGATACCGATGCTGATGACGATGCTGCTGCTGCTGATGATGATGCTGCTGGTGATGATGATGATGATGATGATGATGCTGATCATGACGATGATGCTGATGCTGCTTATGCCGGTGAGGTTGATGATGCTGATGATGGTGATGATGATGAAGCTGATGCTGATACTGATGATGCTGCTGATGATGATCATGATGCTGATGTCGATGATGCTGCTGCTGCTGATGATAATGCGGATGACTATGGTTTGATGATGGTGTAGAAGATGATGCTGATGATGCTGATGCTGCTGATGATGGTGGTAATGCTGCTGTTGATGATGCTGCTGCTGATGATGAGGCTGATGACGCTGCTGGTGCTGCTGCTGCTGCTGCTGCCGATGATGATGATGATGATGATGATGATGATGATGATGATGATGATGATGATGATGATGATGATGATGATGATGATGATGATGATGATGATGGTGATGCTGACGAGGACGCTGATGATGATTATGAGGAGGAGGAGGAAGAGGAGGAGGAGGAGGAGGAAGAGGAGGAGGAGGAGGAGGCACCACCAGACCGAAACGAGTGCGCAGAGCAGCAGCAGAGACAGACAACGCTGTCGATCATCTTCTTGCCCCCGTCGTTGGAAGAGTCAGAACCGTTCCGCCTGATGGGCCGATTCTCCACCACCACTGCCATAGGCAGGATGGCGGAGAAGGGAAGATGGGGAGGTCCTCCTCCTCCTCCTCCTCCTCCTCCTCCTCCTCCTCCTCCTATCGATGGTAGTAGTGGTGGAAAATCGGCCCCATCATCGCCCGCGGACCGTTTCACCCGAGCCTGCTTCACCCGCGGACCATTTCGCTCGGACCGCCTCGACGAGGACCGCCCCCGCCCGCCGGATCGGCTCGCTGGCGGCCTGCCTCGCCGGCGTCCCGCCCACCAGCCCCAGGAGCCGCCCGCCTGCCCGCTGGGGCCCGCGCCGGCCCTCCGAGGAACTCAGCCTCGCAGATCTCCTGCGATATGGATTTTGACCCTTGATCTGCGATCCCACCTTACGCGTCACGATTTTTTCGACTTTCTTCTTTCTCTCTTCACGGGCCAATCGTGGTGCTTTTTCCACGACTTCGGCCTGCATGGCCCGTCAGAGGGCCCCCGGGACTATCAGAAATGGATCCGTGGCGGAACACTGGCCCTGGGGAGTGAGACGGGGCATTTGTGGGGCCGCGAGTTGAAAAAGGCATACCGGCGGATATCTGGGCCAGTGCTTGCTGCCCTGGCCGTGCCCCTGGGCGCACCGAGGAGAAGCAGGCCTCCGCTCACGAAGCGGCGATGGTCTCCGCGGTGTCGCAGCTGCTGCAGCGGCTCAGCAAGGCCCAGGTGCAGCTCTCGAAGGAGCGGAAGGCCGCCCCCCCTATCCTTTTAGTCGCCTCAGCGTGGGCGGCCAGTGCAAGCGTTGCCCCTGTGAAGAGGGGAAGAGGGGGTGGGGACGTGGTTGGAGGGAGGGGGGGGGCGGGGCGGCCTCGTGAGCCCCTGGAAAGGGCGGCCCCCTTTTCCCTCCCCTTCTGGAGCCTCCACCTCCGCCGCACTTTCTCTGGGTCCGAATCCTTCCTGATCGTTGTCGCCCCCCTCCTTCCGCTCTTCCGCCCTCCTCGGGTCCTCCTGCCCCTCCCCCCCTCATTCCACTCCAATTCATGCTGCTGCTGCTGCTGCTGTTCGTCCTCGTCCTCCCTCCTCCTCCTCCTCCTCCTCCGCCACCACCTATGTACGCAGCTACCCGTGGACATAGCGCATCGCACCTCCTCTATTGCGCATAGTACGATGGGGTCCTCTTTGGAATTTCAGGTCCGCTATGACACGCGTCGGCGAAAAGAGAAAACGTACCGCAATGTGACAGGATGGTTGGGAGGGGTAGGATGTCAGATATGTCGCGAGCGAACCTAGGCCGTTCTGCCCCCTAGGCCCTTCCAGTAAAATCCTCTCCTCCTCCCCTCCATCCCTCATCCCCTCCCCGTCACAATTATTATGGGTATTACTCTCCTCTCTCCCCTGACTCTGTCCAGAAGATGTTCTGCCCTCTCCGCGTATTGCTTTTACGCAGGATTGGAACACTTGTTTTTTCTTTTGTTTGTTTGCCGTCCGACTGTTGCCGGTGGTTCTACATGGTGCTCCCGCTGCAGCGCGGGCCTCATTTTCGGATCAGCGCTCTGCCCATTTTGTTCAGAATTGCTCTCGTGGCGGTCCACTTTTTCGGATCCGAGTCCTTTTTCATCGTTGTCGCCCTTTTCGTTTCCCCTACTGCGCCTTCCCCTGGTCCTGCTCCTGCTCCTTCCGCTCCTTCCACTCTCCAACTCTTTGCCGCTGCTGTTCTTCCTCCCTCCTCTCCTTCCTCCTCCTTTTCCTCCTCCTCCTCCTCCTCCTCCTCTTCCTCATGCTCATCCTCCTGCTCATCCGCCACCTCCTCCTCCTCCAATGTACGCAGCTTGCTTGTGTATCAGACTGCGCATGACACGACGGGTCCCCTTTGGAATTCAAGGTTCGCTGTGACACGCGTCGGCGGATCGAGAAAACACACCGCAATGGGAATGGCTGGTGGAAGGGGTAGGATGTCCGATATGGCGCGATCGCACCTAGCCTGCCTCATCTCTCTCCTCCTCCTCTTCTGTTTTTGTTTCTGTTTGCCCTCCCTCATCCTCACCATCCTTCAGCGGTCGTTCCATTTCTCCTGCTCTCGCATCTTCTGCCTCGCTGTCACTCCCTCCAAACGTGCGCTGGTGAAGTCAGCCTGCGCTTGACTCTTGGAAGCCGCACAGCTGACCCTGGGCGAATGTTTTTCTCTACAATGTCTCCACCTGTCCACCTCTCCCCCGTTACCCGCCTCGTCCACCGCTCCTCCACCACCATCTCTCCTCCTCCTCCTCCTCCGCCTCCTCCTCCTTCTTCCCCTCCTCCTCCACCTCCTCCTCCTCCTCCTCCTCCTCCTGAGGATCGACCTTTCTTCCCCTCCGCACCTGCTGGCATCAGCATGGGTGGGATTCCTGCCCCACGACCTTTCGGTGCTCCTCGGTGCACTCTGCTCGCAGGCAGCCGTGCTCGGGCAGGGGCTGAAGGCGGCCAAGACCGTGCTGGACCAGCAGGAGGAGAAGATGAAGGGCGTCGAGGAGAAAGTTGCCATGGTGGACCCCCGACGGATTTAAAGATAATGGCGAACAGAAGCAGAGGACGAGAAGGAACACGATTTGCAGGGTGATAGCGAAGATGCTGAACAATAACAATGAGGATGCTCCTATAATAACGTTGACGGCGACGAGGATCCACGGGTTTCGGGGCCCGGGGGGGCCGTATGCCCGCCTACCCCCTAGGCCTTCCCCCTAGGCCTACCCCCTGAGTGTACCCTAGGCATACCCCTAGGCCTTCCCCTAGGCCTACCCCCTAGGCCTAACCTAGGCCTACCCTAGGCCTTCCCCCTAGGCCTACCCCCTGAGTCTACCCTAGGCCTATCCCTAGGCCTTCCCCTAGGCCTACCCCCTGAGTCTACCCTAGGCCTACCCCTAGGGTTTCTCCCTAGGCCTACCCCTAGGCCTTGGGTAGGGCCTACCCTAGGGTAGCCTAAGGACCTTGGGTAGGGCCTTGGGCAGGGCCTACCCTAGGGTGGCCTAGGGCCTTGGGTAGGGCCTTGTGTAGGGCCTACCCTAGGCTACCCTAGGGCCTTGGGTAGGGCTTAGGGTAGGCTCCCCCCCCAGGTTCTTGACCTCAAACCAGCCCCGTTGGGCTCCCGATGGCTCCCCCCGAGGGCTCACACAGTATGCCCGCCAACACGGGTGTGATTGCCGCAAGTTGACAACGTCACAACATGGACGCGGCCACGTGCGACGTCCAGATGTTTTCATGTCCGGGCTCCTTTGGTCCCGACCCTTGCCCCAGCGCCGGTTGTTCATCGTGGATCGCGTTCGGAAGTTCCCGGGCACGGCGGGGGCCCCCAAGGGCCGAACATGGCCGAAAGCCCCCCGCCCTGATGCTTTCTCACGACGCGAGCCTGCTGGGGGATGGCGCTCCCCCCGCAAGCCGCACCCCACAGCAGGGCGGCGAGAGCGGTAGAAGCCGCGGCGCCACCGGGCTGGCCTGGCTGCTGCTGCCCCTCCCCCTCTCCTTAGATCCGGCGTTGCGAAAAAATAGCGACATCGCAAGACATCGCGACAGGAGCCCTGGGACCCCTCTTTCCGCGCCATTTTTCTGGCCGGATCGATCTGCAAGGGCCCTGAGGCCCGAAACATTGCAAAATCGCCCGTTGTGGAGAAATTGCGACGTCAGGATTTCAGGGGATCCCCTCGGCCCGAGGTCGCCGAGGTCTGGACTTGGCCTCTCGGCAGCGGGTCGGCGACTCATTACCCGCCGTTGGGGCCTGGGGGACACGATAATGTTTTCTTTGGGCCTTTTCGGGGCGCGGCGGAGAACTCCGTCGGGGGGCACTTACCCTGAGATCCTGGCTTCGCACTTGTTTCACAGCGAGCGATTTTGCAAGGTTTCAGGCCCTGGGGCCCTCAACAGATCGATCCGGCTCGAAAAATTACGCAGCAGGTTGGGGTCCAGGGCTCCGGTCGTGGAAAGGGGCCCTCAAGGGCCCCTTACCTGCTGCTGCGGGCCCATTGGGTGCACGAGAGGCGCACGTTCCTTCACTCCACGCTTCCTGCCCGCCCTGTTGACGAACACCCGAGAGAAGCCAAAGGGGGGCCGAGGGCCCGAAGCCCGAGGGCCGAGCCCTTGCCGCCCCCAGGTGCATGTGTAGGTATGCGACGTCCTGATTCTTTCAACACGGGGTCCCAGGAAGTCCCGGCCCGTGCTCCGGGACCAGTGTGTCCTCCCGGGTTGCTCTTGGACGGTCCCGGAAGCCGGCGAGGGCCACCAGGGGCCGAAAATGGTTAAACACTGTCCGTCGCTTCTTGTTCTGTTTTGCGCCCGTCGGTCATCCTGTCCTCGCCCCTGCAGACTCGAAGGCGGCCTGGTAAAAGGTCCCTCGGACGTCCCCAAGACCCCAGAGATCTGACGTTTCGATTCTTTCAATGCTCGGCCCCTGGAAGTCCAGACCCGGCTATTCATCCTGAACCGTTGTTGGACGGTCCTGGGGCCCCGCGAGGGCCCCCCTCCTCTGGTCGTGTTTTTTTTCACGACGCGAGCATGTTTGGGTCGGACGTCCCCAAGACCCTAAGCGCACAGAAGACTCGCCTGAAGCGGGTGAGGCGCCGGGAGCTGCCTCGTTGCTGGCTGCTGGGTTGTCAGTGCCCAGGCTGCGTTTTGCCTGGGCTGAGCCCGCTCCTCCGCCGGAGACATGTGCCTCGGACATCGGCTCACTTGTTCTATGAAGCAGAGGCGCGTTCGGGCAGCCTGGGCGCATCCTTCTGCTGGCGCCTTCTTTCTTGTGGGCAAGCCGCTGGAGCGAGCGTTCGGGGCGTCACTGGCGCCTCCGCTTCCTCCTCCTCCTCCTCATCCTTTTCGAACCTTTCGAATGCAGCCATGTACCTCCGCGGCGCGGCCGTTGCGGTCATTGCCGCTGCGGCGGCGCGGGGCGGGCCCGCCGCGCCCGCACACGGGGGGGGGCCCCAGGAGAGGCCTCCAGAGGCCAAAACAAAAAGCGGGGGCCGAACAGGGCCCAGCGAGGGCCGAAGACGCGCCAGGTCCCGAGGGCCCAGGGTACCAAGCCCAACAGGGTTCAGGAAGCACCAGGAAGGAGGAGGGAGCAGAGGAAGGATGGCCGCCAGGGCTCTCGAGAGGGGGGGAGGCTCCACCAGGAGCCAGGGCAACGGGCGAAGAAAACAAGCGAGGGAAGCTCCGACCCCCAGGGAGGAGGGGAGGAGGCTGCTTGGCCCGAGGAGAGGGGAACGTCCGTGGCACCCATCACGGTGGTGCCATGGCACACGGAGGGGGTCCAGGAGCCTGGATGTGTCAGGGCAATCCGTAGCTTGCGGCCGCGCCCTGAGCGATCCTGCGGTGCTGGGACGGGGGTATCAGGGGTGCGTAGACAGCGAAGCTGTACCTGCCTCCGACCCCGCCCAAAGCGGGGAAGAGGGGGAGGAGAGAGCCAGGAGAAGACGCACGGGGCCCAGGACCAGAGGAGGGACGGGAGAGGGAGGTGGCTCAGCGGTCCTGTTGGAGAGGAAAGGGGCCCCCAGTCCTGGGGCCTGGGTCCTGGGCCGCGGGCTGTCGCCGCAGTGGCGATGGTCAGAGGTCGAGGTTCACCTCCCCCCCACCTGGGGGGGCCTTCATGATGTTGTTGCCGTCAGCGAGGGTCTGCCCGAGGAGCTCCGCGATGTCGCTCATGTGGCCTGTTCCACCTCACCGTTGTCGTGGTTCTCGTCGTAGAGGCCTGCATTGTAGGTGTCGTGGTGGGGCATTTCGTAGTTCATCAAGGGGTCGGGTGGAGATATGGCCACTATCATTCCCCATCGTTCGATTACCATAGCGTCGAGCGACTTGGCAATACACGCATTGACGTCGGTGGAGAAGTGGTTCCCATTGACATGGTGGTTGGTCGCAGTAATAGTCATCGTGATCATGCCTTGCGGTGTGATCATGGTGCTGGTAGTGAGTTAGTTCATGGCTCAGCATGTGCTTCATCTGAGGGGTCCGCCAAATGATTGGTACTTTACGTGTGACGTCAGTGGGGGCTGGGTGCATGGTGATCATGGGAACGCGGCATGTCTGTGAGTTGTCGGCGATCTCGATGATGTCTCTGAGGTCGTCGCTGGCACGCTCGAGGATGGCGTGGGTGCGGTCTCCAGTGCTGGGTCTCCCCCATGTGTGGTCAATACTTCTGCTACCTGTTGTCATGCATTGGTCCGCGTCGTCAGCGGGGGCGCTCCAAGTCGCCGATGGGAAGTCAACATCGATTCGAGCAATGTTGCCCTGTTGCATGTTTGCCTTTAGTCGGTTCAGCACACGTCGTGCGCGCAGACTGCCACGGTCTTGGTCGAGCGGTATGTGGATAAAGTCGAGTCCTCGTATCGTGCAGACTCCGCGTGAGCTGAGGTGCTGAACGAAGGTGGTGTGGTTGCCGTCGCCGTTGTCGATGCAAGTGATGCACTGTCGTGTAGCTGGTTGTGGAGGTGGCTTGCCCACGGGTGGTGTGTGCGGGTCGAGTGGTGCATATATTGGTGGAGCTTGTGGTGAGAGGTCGAGACGTGGGGGTGAAATCACGTCGCACTTGTGTACTGGTACGTCTTCGTATGCTTCAGGTCGCCCTTCTCGTCTGTTCTTGGCTGTGACCTCTTTGTGCGTCGCAATGCTGTCGGCGACATGGTCATCCGTAAGCTCTGTTCCGCAAGTATTGTACCAGGCATACCAGGGGAGGGAACACGTTCTGCAAGTCCTGAGGTGCTTGGCGAGTCTTGGGTACGAGTGGAAGTTCATTTGGCAACAGCGGCAAGCTGTGTCTGTGGCCCAGTACAGCGGGTCGTCGTAGTGCGTGTGGTCCCTGCCCATGTGGATGGCCAGTCCCTGTTGTGTGGCGGTGAAGCGCTCGCAAAGGTAGCATACATATGGTCCAGAAGTCGTGGGGGTCGTGGTATCTGTCGTGCTTGAGGCTGGATGGATTCCAATCGCTTGGTCGGTCCGATTTGTCTTCGCGTCGTCGCGAGTATGTCGGATGAAGGCCTTGATCGCGGTATTCACGGCCCCGTTGAATTCGTTAGGTCTGCTCCTAGCCCAGGAGATGATGTCGGCGTCGGAGCGGTTCGGTGTGGGCCATCGTTCGGGCCTGATGCACTTGCGCAGGAATATGAGAGCGGCCTTCAGCATGTCCACCCATCCGTGTCGTACCGATGCTGTAGCGTCAAGTAGACGAAGAAATATACGTGGGGCGTGGTTAAGCATGCGCGGAAGGTACTTAAGTCGCGCTGCCCGCTGATGAGTGCAGAAATCGGGGGCGCCAGTCGCTCCAATGACCTCTTTGGCTGTGAGATGTCGCGTCGGCGTATTGGCCTTTGGCAACCCCATGGCAACTCGGTAAGGTCCCGCATACGTGTTGGCGATGCAATTGGTGTCCTTTGTCGCCATTGGGTTCCATATGTGATGGTTAAAGGTCAAGGCGGATGTGGACAGAGCGTAGACGCACTTGATCTTGGCGTTCGTAGGAAGAGTCCTTCTCCTCAGAAGCTGCTTTCGAGCGGGATGATTGTCGCCGCAGCCCGGTTGGCTCTGAGTCGGGTGTCGTGCCCCATGGTTGTGCCTCTGGTGATGATCGTGCCCATGGCCGTCTGCTTGTCAGTGAGCTTAACCTTGATGCCACGGTTTGGTAGGTCAAGGTGAGTGACCTTGGTCTTAGCAAGTCGTTGTTGTTCCTTCTTGGCATTGTGACCGTAGTGGTTAAGTATTGCGTTCGTCTTGTCGGGGTGTGGCGTCAGCCCGTAGGTGAAAGCTGCTGAACAGAAGCTGGTGGCTGCAATGGTGGTAGCGTCAATCAGCTCGGCGGCATCCGCTGTTGAAATCAGTCGCGTGAGGTCGTCGACGTATGAGCGGTGGACAAGATTGTCACCGACGTGGGGCTCGTTGGCGAAGATTGGGTCTGAACGAGATGGGATTGGGTGTCCTGTTGATGCCGTGTCGTCGGACTGAGTTTCTCGGTCGATCGCGGTGAGGAGTAGGGCGAAGTGTCGGTTGAAGGTGACGTCTGAGAATGGTACTCCTGGTTGCGTGCTCTTCCTGGGTACCTGGAAGTGGGTGGCTTCACGAGCGGCCATCCAGTTGGAGGTGTGGTGGTCTGCGATTAATGCGCACAGGTGCTTGTCGTCGATGTCATCGCTTCTGCGAGTTGGCTGTCGGACTTGCTCTGCAAGTGCGGGTCGCAGCCATGCGGGGATCCCTATTTTGTTCGATGAGAGTGTCTAGCTCGTCCATGGTGGTAGGTAGCCGCATGGTGAATTCTTTAACCACTGAGTGACATGCTTCGCGTAGATCTAAACAGATGATCGCGCCTCCTTTTGTTCTTGCAGTCGGCGACGAAGGTCACGATCGCATGCGTGACGACATCCGTGGCCATATTCGGTCTTGCTCCGCACTGTGTAGCGTTAATAAGAGATGACAGCATGCCCTTGACGCTAGACCTGATGAAGGACGAGTTCATCTTTCCGATGGCGTTGTTCAGTAAGATGCCTCGGCATGAAGACTGCTGCTCCAACAACCCGCTGCCTATGTAGAAGTGGGTGGAGAAGCCGCCCTTGGCGGCCAGTGGTTCGGTGGACTGCACTTGCGTCTTGACTAAGATGGGGATCGAGGAGTCTTGCCATAGCGCTGGGTGATGCTCTTGCCACCGCCGGGATCCCCTCTACGTCCTGGGCGAGCTGCTGCAATCGTGGATGTTAGTTGTCCCATGGTCATGGTGTTCTGGATCTCGGTGTCGGGCTTCTCTCGGGTGTTCTGCTCGTTGTAGTGGTTGGCGACTCACCCTGCGTCGGTCTCGGTGGAGTGTTCGATCTTCCCGTAGAATCAGAGGGCGTGGTTGGCGATGTCGGTCTTCTTGGTTAGTATCTCTCCGTCGGCTGATACCCTGATTAGTGGAGCAATGGGCTTATTGGGCGGCTTCCCTCCGAAAGCAAGCAGCTTTCTCGCATCGATCCACTCGTCCTTGGGAGTGTTGGTGATGATGGAGGTATTCATGTCGTTCGCGAGTTTGTCGAGCAAGTCGCCAAGCCGTCTTCTATCCAGCTTCTGTTTGTGCGATTGGCGTCGCGGGTAAAGATGCAGAGCGTGTCGTAGAAGTACTGGTGTTCGTGGCTTTGAAAGTCGTGGGCGATGTCAGCTTTGTGCCGCTTGCTCTTGGAGAAAATGATGGCAGATGTGACGATTGACGTGTAGCTGCTGATGTCTATCAAGTAGAGGTTGTCCGTGGGGTCAGGTAGCAGGGCGTCGTTCGCGAGTAGGTTGGAGGTGTAGTTAAGTAGTTTTCTTGCTGGCGTGGACGCAAGTCCGTTGCTCTTGATTATCCTGATCGTCTTGGTAATAGCCCGTCGCACCCGCTGTAGTGTAAACTATCTCGTGGTGATGTGCGGCTTCCGTGGGGTGGGACGCTCTCGTCGAATAACTTGCTGGGCTGCAGTCGTGATGTATTCAGTAATGATGCTGAGGTGGTCATTAACGTTCGTGTCCCACGGCGGGTGCGGCACGGTGTCGAGGATAGCGGCGAACTTTGTCCTGTGGTCCCGGTCTCGAAGCTTCCATTCGTCGAGCCTCGGTGCCGTACATTTGCAGATGGTCGAGGCTTGGTATTGCAAGGTCGTTCGGGCAGGGAGGTTGTCGTCCTTTTTCTCTAGAGTGTTGTCACTGTCGGTGCCGAGCATGGTGGCGCTGTCGGTGACACACTGAAGCAGGCTGGTAGCGATAACAGTGTAGTCGATGCGGTGGACCTCGGTGCTGGACTGCCATGCGCGGTGGTCGCCTCCACCGCTCTGAAAGGTATTGACTGCAGGTAGGCGGTGAGCAAGTACAAACTCGTGGAGCCGCGTTTCATTGTTCCCTTCCCGTTGTGCAAGTCCTGCTGGCCCAATGTCAGTGCTGGTAATGTCTCCTGTGCGCGCGTTGGCGTCGATCATCATGGTCGTGATGCTGTGCTTGCTGGCAAGGGTGTGGAGTGTATTCCAGAAGTCGTCCTCGGGTGGTTTGGCCTTTCCGTGCGGGGCGTGGCACACACAAATAACATGGTCGAGTCCAGGCGCCGCAGCCTTTACCATCAATGTACTTGGGTCTTTGTGGATGACAACGAACTGATCAGGCTTGAAGCACAGCAGTTTGTTCCCGTTTTTATTCCGTACGTCTTCGACGTCAAAATATGTAATTCACAGCCCAGGTTGTAATTGTCATGGCCGCTGGCGCTGACGTAGGATATAAACAAATACATCTCCTCCTGCTGCTCCTCCTCCTCCTCCCCCTCCTGATATGCATTTTCACCCGTATAGGCTGGCCCACCGGCACCAGGGCCCACTTGGCCTTTCTCTCTCAGGAGGCCGCCCACAGCTTGGCGCGGGCCGCCCTGCAAGCCGTCGAGCTGCCCCTCGGCAAAATCGGCCGCAGGCGGCCTCGGCGGCAACACAGTCGAGCATCTGAGTAAGGGGCCTCCCGGCAAGCTGGGCAAGCTGGCCCAGGGCTTCTTGGCCAACTTGGCGGAAAGCTTCCTCGAGCACGTTCGTCCTCCAGCGTTGCAAGCAGACATCGGCCAAGGCTTGTGTTGAGACACTTCTTGGAAGCTGGCCCAGACGTCTTAAGGCGTAGCTCTCTTGATCATCTGGTCGGCCAGATGCGAAGAAGATGTCGCCCCCCCAGGCCCTCCAACCTCCGAGGATCTCGAGAGCGGTTCGGTGCGCGCTGCCCCCCCAGCAGGCGGAGACCCTGGCGACGCCGCTGGGCGACGAGCAGCCATCGGACGAGGCTGTGGAGCGGATGGGCGCGGCCGTCATCGAGGCGGAGGCGCCTTCGACGAGGGGGGGGGTCCCCCTGAGACAGGGTTTCGGGCCCCAGAGCCCTCACAGATCGATCCCGCTAGAAAAATGACGTTGAAGATAGGGGTCCAGGGCTCCTGTCGTGATTTCTTGCGGTGTTCAGTTTTTGTTTGCAACGTCGGTTCTCAGAGGAGGGGGAGGAGGAGGAGGAGGAGGAGGAGGAGGAGGAGGACTAGCAGGAGCTGGAGAAACCGGAAGGAGGAGGAGGAGCGGGATGGAGAAGGGAGGGATGGGGAGGACGACGAAGAGGAGCGGGAGGAGGAAAGAGGAGCAGGATGGACAAGGACACATCCTTCAGCTGGCGCCTCCTCCTCATCCGCGGGCCTCGACAGCGGTTCCGTGCACGCTTTGCGCGCCAGTCGCCATTTCCTCACGGTCCACGGCCAGGACAACCCCCGCCCCCGCCGCAGTTGCCGCCGCCCTCTTTCCCGCCTCCGACCACGCCGCCACTTTCTCCTCCCGCAGGCCTGGTGGACCAGGCACGCTGCCAGACGCGAGGCTCTCGCCTGGTCAGTGGTCGTGGGGCACCTTTCTCCCCTGCCTCCCTCCTCCTTCTGCCCCTCGCCCCCGCAGCTGCCGCCGCCGCAGCTTGCTGTGCCCCTCCCTCTCAGGCGCTGCTCAGAGCCGCGATCCAATCCTTGGACGAGGCAAAGGCCGGCGCGATCTCCCCGCTGAAGGCCGCGGGCCTCCTTTCCTCGGGCGCAACGTTCGGGGAGAGACAGGCTCGATCCCCAATCGCCCATTCACTGCTGATGCAGCGGCCCGATAGCCCCACCTGGCTCGCATGGCGCACGCGAGCCTTTTCTTTTCAGTACGCGTGTCAACGTTTCGCCCCTGCCGGGGCTCTGCAAGACTCGAATGAAACTGGCAGCGGCATGCAAACACAGCATGTGAATGAGTGACACAATGCTGCGTACAATGCTATTGCAAACATAAACACATGTATGCGGTAATCGCTCCATGACTGTGGCTTCTGCCGCAGACGGAGACGGCCGAGAGGTGCGGACAAATCGTGCCCCCCCTCTTCCAGGAGTGTGCAGATTCGCTATCGGAGGCCTGTCGCCGATCTATGAGCTATGTATCGCCGATTCCAGGTCGATGTTCATGCCCCCTAAGCTAGTCCCCCTCTACTGTTGCCTCTCATCGCCCGTGGGGTCGGGGCGGGTTGTGTGCGAGGGAGGCGAGCCCTGGGCCCCATGCCTCCCAAATGGGATCGATGAAAAAGGAGACTCTCAACCTTCTGGAATTGAGAGACTTGAGATTTTCGGACATTCCCGTCGATGCTCGGCAGTTTTCCAGCCTCGTGGTGCGTTCTGCAGCGGAGCCTCGCCGAGAGCGTTCCTGGGGCGCCCAGATCGTCTCGAATGGCCGCCGGAGACCCGAGTTATGGCCCGAAAGCCAGGCCTCCCAAATGGGGTCCGAGCAGACGGTGTCGGATGATCGCGCCGCAACGCCGAAGCATCGGTGATACGGCTCACATGTGGAACCCGACGTCGCCAATGCATCGCCGGCGTCGCGGATGCATCGCCGCACCGCCGATGCGTGCGCTGGCGATGCGGCGCGATCCTCCGACCCCATCTGCTGGGGCCCCGTTTGGGAGGCCTCCGGTGACGGAGGCGCTGGCCGAGGCCTCCGTTCTGGACGTGTCCCGAGGCCCGCCGGCGTGGCGTTCCGTGGAGCTGTGGGGTCTGGTGCCCGCCTACGCCAGGGGCGGCCAAGCTTCTGGTCCATGTCAGTGCCGTGTTGGCCAGCGTGGGCCCCTACGCAGCAGGGTTTTTGCATTGTGGACGTGTGAGGCAGAGGCGGCAGCGTGGCGGCAACGGGCAGCAGCGTGGCGAAACTTCGCCGGACCCGCCCAGCGCACAAAATGCGGCAACGAGGCGGCTACGTTGGGCGGCCACGGGGCGGCCACCGAAAACATCTTCGAGATATTCACCAATTCGGTTGGTGAAACAGATAAGAACCCCTACGTGCAAGCACTTCTTGGGGAATACGTGTGAGCTTTGTGAATCTCGAAGGAGGACAAGCTGCATACTCATACGTGAACTTCTGGAGATCCGAAAGTGTATGTTTATGCAGGTTGCTATTTAATGCAATTGCCCAGAAGTGTAAACGCCCTGTGAACAAGTTCCAAGCGGGACTCTCGTTGGACATATCGACGAGGTTGTTGATGCTACTTTCCGCAGTCCTAGCGCCTCGGTGCAAGGCAGCTACTGTTTGAGCATGGGGCTCTTGCCTGAACGGCAGGCCCAAAGGGTGCTCGTCTTTCAAGGGGGCGCGCCTCGTAGTAAGCATGACGGCTTGCAGGCACTTGTGAGCAGGAGGCTTGGGACGGGAGGGCGCATTGCAGCATCAACGCATGCTTGCTCTGGTGCGTGCGTCCTCGCCATCCTCGAACACGCCTCGGACTCCTCCCGCGCAGGCAGCGCTGGCCAAGCTGATATTGCGAGGGAAGTCGGCTGGCGAGAAGCTTCGCCAGGTGAGGGCGTCCACCAAGGACTCGTGTGTGGATGAAGGAATGATGGTGGTGATGATGATGTTGTTGTTGATGATGATGCTGATGATCATGATAATGACGCTGATGGGGCTGATGCTGGTGATGATGATGCTGATGATGGTGATGCTGATGATGATGATGATGATGATGATGATGCGGATGATGATGCTGATGATGCTGAGGTTGTCGATGATGATGATGCTGCTGCTGCTGATGATGATGATGATCATGATGATGATGATGATGATGATGATGATGCTGATGCTGATGATGATGCTGATGCTGCTGATGATGATGATGATGATGATGCTGATGCTGATGATGATGCTGCTGATGATGCTGCGGCTGATGATGATGTTGATGATGTTGATGATGATGAGGATAATAATGACGATGCTGATGATGATGCTGATGCTGCTGATGATGCTAATGCTGATGTTGATGCTGCTGCTGATGATGAAGAGGCTGATGCTGCTGCTGATGATTTTGATGGTGAGGAGGAAGAGGAGGAGGAGGAGGAGGAGGAGGAGGAGGAGGAGGAGGAAGAGGAGGAGGAAGCGGAGCAGGAGGAGCAGGAGGGGGAGGAGGATGATTCGTTTCCGACTGCAAGCATAATAAAATGCTCGGCAGCTAAATGCGAGCCGTATCAATCGATACATCTTACATAGTGTGTATCTACGTATCGTCCTGCAGCCGATTTCCCTGACACGTTAGGATTGAACAACAATTTGGGGATGGACTACGTAACTAGCCTTGCCTGGCGGCTGGTGAAGCGAGCTGGATTTCTATGTATATGTAAATCTGCGCCAGAAGGGAAGGGGATAACAGAGAGGAGGTAGCGGAGACCGGCGGACACAGCGGCCGAGCGGCGGAAGGAGGGCGACGCCAGAAGCGGGAGGTGGGGAGCGACCGGAGGAGGAGGAGGAGGAGGAGGAGGAGAAGGAGGAGGAGGAGGAGGAGGAGGAGGAGGAGGAGGAGGGGGCGGAGGAGGAGGGGGCGGAGGAGGAGGGGGCGGAGGAGCAGGAGTTGAAGGTGAAGGCGGAGGCGGAGGCGGAGGAGGAGAAGTCGGAGCAAGGGAGGCCGGCCGGTGTCCTCCTCAACTCTCCCTCCCTTGCCCCGAACTCCCCTCACTTCGCTCCTTCCCCCAAGATCCAGCTCCTCCCCCCAACGCCACCGTGACTCCGCCCCCGCCCCCGGCCCCCGCTCCGCGCCCGTTGTCCTCCAGCTCGGCGCGAACTCTGGCTTCCGCCCTCCCGCCCGACCCCCACCCCCCCTCCGCCCCCTCGCCCCGACTGTGCCACAGGCTCCGCCCTCCGCGCCCCACCCCCGCCTCCGCGCCCCCGAGTTCCTGCGCTGTTGGGCCCTCGCTCTGAACACGCAGCGCCGCGCACCACTTTCCGCCACCTCCACATCCACCCTGCCTGGCCTCGCCCCGTTCTCACCCCACCTCGCCCTCTCGTCGTCTCCTCTTCCCAATTTTTCGGGCTGTCCTCCTCTCCCCAAATTGCGTGGAACCAATCTTCCCCGTTTTTCGGGACACCCTTCACGTGGATAGTGTCCCCATCGGAAGCTCCGCCAACGGCCCCAGTGAGGGCTTTCACATGCGCCCCCCTGCCCTGTCCGGCACACACCTCACGCGGATGGGTGGCCAGAAAGGGGCCCAGACCATATCCGTCCTGCGGCGCGTAGGATATGAGGAGAGGGCCACGGCTTGCGCTACAGGCAGCTGCATAGTGTTGGGCTCTTCGCCATTCTTGTTTTCAAGCGGTTGCTCAGCTCACGACTCTGTTTGGTGAGCCCGAGTGGTTGTCGCACGGTGCACTCGTGCGCCGTCCGCCATCTGGGCCGTCGCCCTGGGCCGAAGTGGTCTCTGGAGGCATCCGAAGGTCCCAGGTCCTTGGAGTCCCTGGAGGTGTGTGGTGGTCCCTTGAGGTCTCTGTCGTACGTACCGGTAGGTATGTTTTATGTAAGTTAAGCGTTTCGAACTCGTCCGCAAATATTGGACCACTCCACAGGCTGCGCAACAGGCGCCCAGAATCCACCACCGCCAAGTACAGGCTTGGTAATTTGATGAATGGACTGGAACCCAAGATTAAACAGTGCATAGGCCCCGTGCTGCCAGCGCTGACACGGTTACGTGATGAGCTTGGAGACCCTGCTGTTGTCTCTGCTTGTCTGGTTTGGGTCCCCATATCGTCCCATAGACTTCAGCTTTTGTCGGGGAGTCGCGGCACGCACGACTCAGCAGTGGTTTTTCTGTAGCGTGCAGCCTTTGTTTCGCTCCTCCCCAGGCCGGCTCCATTACATTGCGGAGCGTTCGGCTCCTTCCATGTTTTTGTTACTTGTTCGGCCGACTTGATGGCCCCTCCTACTCCCATGCTATGGGGCCTGTCTGTGGTGTGCGACTCGCGCAAAGCGCGGTCGGCCCCTCTTCTTGCTTCTTTCTCGTTTTCTTGGACCTGCCTCTTCGGAGGCAGGCCACCGTCCTAGTTCTAGTCCTAGTCCCTTGAGGCCTTTGCAGGCCTCTGGAGCTAGGCCCAGAAGGGGCCCAAGTTGCCCAACAACTTCGAGCCTGGACCGCCGAGCGATCCCCGAGCCTCGAACCTCGAGCCTCGAGCCCCGAGCCTCGAGCCTCCGGGGGGTCCAGCGTGGCGGCGGCAGACTGCAGTCGTCGGACGGGCCGAGAATCGAGGGAAATCCGTTCCAGAGCGTTCCAGAACGCTCTCAGAGCGTTTGGCATGCTCTGAAACGGCCGCGGCGCCCGATACACCCTCCGAACCCGCCGATTCTCAGAGATTTCCGATGTATTATCGGCCCGTTTTTGTTTCGATTCCACCTTTGTCTGCAGTCGGTCGCTGTACACGCCCCCAGCGCCCGCAACAGGAGCAGCGAGAGCGTGGGGACTGCGGCCGCCTGGCGCAGCAGGCCGGCCAGCCGGCCGGCCAGCCGGCCGGCCGCCTGGGCGTCGTCCAACCCAGCGTCACTCTCGCCCGCGGCGACGTCGTCGTAGTCGTAGACATGCTCGGCGGCGAGCCCGGTTGAGAAGTTAGAAGGGGCGGTCCTTCTTAGAAGGCTCGGAAGTCCTCGGGCCTTCAGAGAAGTTTTCTAAACCTTCCACGAAGACACAGAAAACTTCTGAGATGGCGCGAAGGCCTCTGAGGAGTCCCGCCGCCTTCTGAGAACGCCTTCTTTTCTTCACTTCGCCCCCTCGCTCGCCTCCGAGACATGCTCTCGTCGTGACAAAAGTCACGACGGCAGGCTTGTGGCATTCTTCAGCCTCTGGGGGCCTTCTCCGGGCCCCAGGACCGTCAACAAAACGTCTCGGGATGAATCATCGGCCTTGCGGGAAGGGTCAGCCTTTCGGGGACCCCATACCTCAAAGAAACAGGACATCGCATGTCTGGGGTCGTAGTGATCGCCGTTGGCGTCGATCGTAGCAGTCGTGGTCGTGGTGGTGGTGGTCGCCGTCGTCGTCGTCGATCGTCGATCGTCGTCGTCGATCGTCGGTCGTCGACCGTCGATTTGTCCCTATGGCGTTCTCGACGATTTCCCTGATGGTTGTCCCAATGGTTGTCCCAAAGGGTTTCCTCATGGTTTCCCGGATGAGTGTATCGATGGTTGTCCAAATCGACTGGAGGGCCAGACCCGATCGGGAGGACCAACCCGATTGGGAGGACCATAACCGATCGGGAGGACCAAGCCGATCAAGAGGGCCAGACTAGATAACTACAGAGTTCGACGAACCTATTGATAGACGATGACATGCTTGACATGCAGACGACACCATCAACACATGCAAACATATGCCTCCGTATATACATGTAGTCCGATGTGGACTCAAGGCGAACCCAATGAGTTCCCAATCTACCAGCCGAAGGGTTGTCCGAAACGTAATGTGTTCTTCGGTCCTGCCGGTCTCATCTCCTTGATACCCGTATAACCATGTAGTGGTCTTGCCATCTACCGCCCGGTCTCGCTGCCACACTATTCACTGATATCATGATATGTGCGCCAACCTAATACTCAAGTGGCTTACGCCAGTCCGCCGACCTCCCAGAAGGAGCGAGGAAGCTATCCAGTTGATGAGGGGTTTCTTGGATGCATCTGAGGGGCTTGTGGGAAGCCTCTCAGGGGCCTCTTCGAGGTCTCTTGGGGGGCTCTCGGGCCTTCTTGGGGGCCTCTTGGGGGCTTTTGGGCGGCGCCTCACAGGCCTTTTGCAGCCTCTTGTGGGCGCCTCGGGGGCGTCGGGCGTCTCCTGGGGCCATCCTGGGGAAACAGGTTCGACATGTCAGTTCGTGTCTTCCCTTTGGGGCTCCTCTTAGGGACCTCTTGCGGCTCTCTTGGGCCGTCTTGCGGGCCCCTGTGGCCGTCCTGGGGCCCTCTTGGGTTGTCTTGGGGCCCTCTCGGAGGCCTCGTGTGCCCTGCTGGAGCGATTTTTTGGGGCCCCTTAGGCTGTCGTGGACGTTGCCAAGGCGAAGAAGGCGAGTATCGAAGACACCCACGGCGAATCACCGCCGCCCCCTGCCTTTTGAAGTCGCCCACGTGGCCGAGCGTTGCGGCAAGAGCTCTGCCACAGGCTATCGGACCATATGTTCCCCCCAACGGTTTTGGAAACCCTTCGGGGAACGCTTGGGGGAGGATGGCGGGAATGATCAGGAGGAGGAGGAGGAAGAGGAGGAGGAGGAGGAGGAGGAGGAGGAGGAGGAAGAGAACGAGGAGCAGGAGGAGGAGGAGGAAGAGGAGGAGGAGGAGGAGGAGGAGGAGGAGGAGGAGGAGGAGGAGGAGGAGGAGGATCTTGGGAGCCTCTGGGTGCACTCTCGAGGCCTCCTGGGAGCCTCCTGGGAGCCTCTTGGAGGCATTCTGGGGGCCTCCATGGGCCTCTTGGGGGCCTTTGGGGGCTTCTCGGGGGCCTCGTTGCGTCTCAGGCCTGGCCCGTCTGACACCGTCGGGAGCCGTCTTGGGGGCCTCCCTGGGCCGACTTGAAACCCTCTTGGGGTGCTCCAGGGCCGTCTTGGAGGCCCTCTTGGGCTGTCCCGGGGCCCTCATGGGGCCGTCTTGGGGGCCTCTTGGGCCTCTGGGGGCCCTCGATCGAGGTGCTCCAGGGCCGTCTTGGAGGCCATCTTGGCCGTCTTGGATCCCTCCTGGGGCGGTCTTGGGGGCCTCTTGGGCAGTTCTGGGGCTATCTTGGAGGCCTCTTGGGCGATCTTGGGGCGATCTTTGCAGGCTCTTGGGCCGTCTCGGGCCGTCGGAAGGCCGAAAGAAGCAAATGCCGAAATACTTCAAAAACCTTAGGGCAGTCAATGCTTTTGGCCTCTTCGGGCCTTCCTGGAGGTAATCTCGGAGGCCTCTTGGGGGCCCCTTGGGTCCTCTTGGACCATGTTGGAGACTTCTTGGGCGGACTTGGAGGCATCTTGGACCCTATTGGGCCGCCTTGGAGGCCAGAGCTGAACATCTTGAGCGAACTTAGAGGCCATGTCGGCCGTCTTAGGAACCATCTTGGGCCATCTTGGAACGGGAAAGGTATTGACAGATACATGTTGAGGTCCTTTCCGTGTGGTCGGCGGGGCCGGCCGAAGCCCCAGGGGGAGTTCTTTGGGACAAATAATTAGAACCACAGACCGTATGATCTAGCACGCCAGACACCCTTGTGACAAACACAGAGGCGGTGGGTGGATCGAGTGGCCTTCGGCCCATCCTGCCACCGTGTGTGGATTGTGGGTCAGAGTTCTCAGGGATGCTTCTTGGGGTCTCTTCGGGGCTCGGGGCGCTCTCGGGGGCGCTCTCAGAGCTTTGGGGCCTCTTGGGGGCCTGTTGGGGGCCTCTTGGGGCCTCTCGGTGGCCTCTTGGTTGCCTCTTGGGGGCCTCTTGGGCGCCTCCTGGGGGCACCTCGGGGCCAATCGTGAGCCCTGGCTTGCCCGCTGGCAGCTGCGCCGTATCGTCGGACATCTGGTCCACTACTTCTCGGCCCTGCGGCCGGGGCCCAGCGTGCTGGGCGCCTGCTATGCGCGCAGCGGGAACGGCGACATGGCCGAGGTGGGGCGGTTGCAAGTCGGCGTGCCCGGGGAGCTCACCACCGCCGCGGGGCTCATCTTCTTGGGCGAGGTGGACCTGTGCAGGGCCCCGTCGGGCACCGCCTTTACCGCCGACAGCTCGACAGCTTTCCGCTCGCGAAGCTCGGTTGGGGCCGCGGGAGGTCCTGGCCACAAGCCTGCGGCGCGAGCGACAGCGCTTCGTCGCCACCGAGGTCGAAGTCGCGCCCGACGAGGAGCTGCACGAGGGCCGCGCGGCTGGGTTGGCCGGTCCAGGTGGCCCGCTGCCGCTCGATACCCCGCCTCGTCTGTGGCGCGCGACGGCAAAGCGGCGCCGCGTGGAGCTCGAGATCGGCGCGCCGCCGGAGCCGCTGGCGGAGGCCTAGCTTGGCCCGGGCCGCTGGCCTGAACGGCGGCGAGGCGCCTGGCAGCACCCCGGCCGCATCCGCGCCCTGGAAGCTCGCGCCGCCGTGGCGCCGTTGTGGCGGGCTGCCGCTGAGACCGCGTTCCACGGCACGGAGGTCCTCAGCCTCTGCGACAAGATGTCCTCGGTCCTCGCCTTCGAGAAGGGCAGGGCCATCAATTTCGAGCTGCTCGCTCAGTGCAGGCGAGCCGCGGCAGCGCGCCCAGGCTGCGAGATTCGCTGGCGGCCGAGGCGCGTGCCGGGCATCTACAACGTCGCGGACAACGGGGGCAGGGCTGCCGATCGCGGCGAGCTCCGCGCTGGGCGCTACCGTGGGCGAGGGGCCCTGTCGGCGCCCGCCCGGCTCAGCCGCCGCGAGCTCGCGGCGCCGCCCGCTGCTCCGCGGGCCCACCAGATCAAGGGTGACATGGCCGAGTCAGCAGAAAACGCACCGAGTGATGATGTTCAGGCAATTTCTGCTTCTTATACACTCAGCTGTCCTATCCATTCCACATGTGAGTCATGTGATTGTCATATTTCAGAAGTGCGTCACACAGACTGTCAGCATGATGACTCGTCGCGAAAGGGGGAGGGCACCGTGCCAGCTCAGCCCGTGCGAAACCGAGTCCATCGAGATAGGTGCGAACAACCTCACCCAAGTATGCCTGGGTCTTGCGGTGGCCCTCGCGAGCCCCCCCCGCCCCGTGCGCGGCGACCAAAGAGCTGCGCGCGCAGGCCCTCAGGGGCCACGTCAACTCCCTGATGTGCCTCAAGGGGGCCCCATTGGAGCTCGTCTTCGGCCTGGTGGTCGTCTTGGGCAGGGGCTGGCTGAAGTACCTGAGCCTCCTGGAGTTCTTCGGGCCGAGCCGTCTCGGAAGGCGTTATTGAGGCTGTTCGCGGGCACTGCTAACCTCGCCGGGGGCGGGGCGTCCGCGTCATGCCCCCGATGGGTACCAAGCGCGGGGCCCACTGCGACCTCGCGAGCCCCCGCGTCCAACGCCTGGTGCTGAATTGACTCAAGTCTGGTGAGCTCTGGTGGGTCCACCTTGGGCTGCCTTGTACGCGCTGGGCCCCCGTGGGCGGCGACCGAGATCCGTCGCCCGCGGATCGTGCGCTGGTGTCCTTCACAGTCCGCGTTCTTCGTCTGCGCAGGCAGCTCGGGATTTTCGCCACATTCGAGAACCCGCCCGCCAGCCGCGCATGGCGCTGGCCAGCGCTGGCGCGGGAGCTGCGGCGGCTCGCCTGGCCGAAGGTGATCTTCGATTATTGCAGGTTCGGGGCCCCGTTCACAAAGCCAGGTGCCATCGCAGGGGGCGCTCTCGCTGCGCTGCCGCCGTTCTGGGCGGCGTCGCGTCGAGCTGCAGGGGGAGGTCAAGCGCCCGACGCGCGGGTGGGTCTGGCGAACTACGCTGGCTGGTTCTTACCTGCCCAGCCGGTGCTGGCTGCTGGTCTCGCTCGCTGGGCCCGATGCGCCGCGCGGCGCCATCGGGCGATCAGCGAGGCAGGAGCTCCAGGACAGGGCTCGCGCGCTGGCGAGCGCGGCAGACTGCGGGGGGCCCCGAGGCGTCGCGGCGCCGATCTGCCCGCGGCGCCTTCGGCCCCCGCGGCGGCCAGGGTGGGCCTCTGCGCTCGACCCGCGGCCGCGCCGCCGCTGAGACGCCGCCGGCGTCTCCTGGCGGCCCGCGGCGGGATAGGCGATTGCTTCCGCCTTGCTGCCTCCGCCCTGCGAAACTCCGCAGCAACCAGTCGGCCGTTGCCGAGCTGGCTGACTTGGCTCAGAGGCGCGGGCTCTCGCTGCATACCTCCGCGGAAGCTGGCGCCGCCGTCGACTTCTACTTCGATGGGCTGTTCTTCGCAGGTCAGCCGCAGTACGTCGGGGAGATGGCTCTGCATGGCCCACGCGAGCGGCAGGACTGGCCGGCGGCGCGGCCCAATTTCCAGGAGGCCAAGGATGCCCTCGCAGGGTGGCCCGCCGAGCTGCCGCCGAGCCTTCGAGACCCGCCGCCGATCGAGGCCGTCTCCCCGGCGTGCGCCGCCCTCGACAATTGCATCTTGGCCAACCTCCTCGTCGTGCCGGGCGCTCTGGCGCAGTTTGGTCGCATTTCCCGCCCAGCGAGCTCCTCGACATTGAGCCTGGCCACGCGTTCGACAGCCGCGCCTCGGGCGCCGCGGCAGACATCGCGGTCGTGGCGGCGCCGCTTGGTGAATGCGAGGCGCCCGAGAACCGTGGCGTCGATTGCGCCGCGAAAGCTGGCGCGGACTTGCCGCTGCGGCGACTGGCGCCCGAGATCCCGCCGCGCCTGAGGGCCCGCGCTCGCAGGCTCTCTCTTCCGGCTCTTTGTTTCAAGTGTTATTTCTCTCTCTCTCTCTCTCTCTTTATTTCTCTCTCTCTCTCTCTCTCTCTCTTTCATTTTTTGTTTCTCTCTCTCTCTCTCGCTCTCTCTCTCTCTCTCTCTCTTGCAGCGTGAGATGTCCTTGAAAGCAGCGGCTGTCGCCGCGGGAGTCGTCGAGCTCTGGTCTGCCCCTCGCCAGTTGCGCCAGGGTGGGCCTGCGCATGATGCGTTGCACCTGATAAGGCCCGTCGAAGCCATCCGAGCTAGGGGCCTCTGGCGCGCCCGCGAGAGCGCTCGTACACATGAGAGGCACGGCTCGGCGTTACGACAAAGGTCAAGGCTTTCGACTGCCCACATCCACGACGCAGCCCGTTTCGATGATACCAGAGTCAGAGACATCATCCGTCGCGTGTGTGCCTGAGTATATTTTGGTTTGTTGCTGCGCCTCAGGTTTCCCAGATTGGCACTTCGGCTCGTTTGTGTTTGTCTTCTTTTCCCCCGCCCCACCCGAGAGCATATGTATATGGGGGTGGGACATGTGCTTTGGACTGTGTGGCGTTCTAAAGAGGTGATTCGATTGCACGGCAGGCCGTCCGGCCTACTCGTTCTGAGAACCATCCGTGGATGCCGCGGCGCTTGCCCTGTCTGAGTTGCTGATAAAAGATTGAAGCGATGGCCGAATCCAAAGTGCTGTCGCCTGTTTCCGCGACCCCTAGGGGGGGGGCCTGTAATACATATATTTTATATATTTATATGTATGTATATATATATATATATGTATAGATAAGTTGCTCCCGCTGAAATGCTGGCCCCATTTCTGTCCCCCTGGTTGTTCCGAATCGCGTTCCCGCTGCAGCGCGGGCGTTTTTCGGTCCTTCCAGATAGGCTCCCAAACTTAGAAAATGGCCTCCCGAAAAAACGCTTGGGCCGCAGAAACCCACCTCCACTTTGGGGCGTCGTCGTTTTCAGGAAGTATCAAGCGGGAGCCCCTTTTCCTGCTTGGAGAAGGCGATGTTGAAAGCAAGGCCAGCGGTTGCTGCTTTGTGTGGAGCTTTTCGGGGAGCCCAAGGAGCTAGACATGCAGCCACGATTCCAGACCGGCCAAGACCCCTCGAACACGATCCACTTACCCTTCAAGGAACCCCGTGCCATGCCATGGCATGCTGTGCGGTGTTGTGTTCTGCGCCGCTGTGCGATGGCATGCTTTGCGTTGCAATGTTTCGTGATGCAATTCTTCACTGCGCAATGCCACGCCATGCTATGGCATGCAACGCTCTGCCGTGCTCTTCTACGCCATGCCATGCCGTGCTCCACCATGCATCACGTACCATATCGCGGTCATTGCCCTGCTCGACATCCGACTGTGCGAACAGAGAGGATATCGACGCCATGATAAAAAAAGATGGGAGGGAGGGGTAGGACGTCAGGAATGACGCGAGCGCGCGTAGTTTGCCCCTCCCCCCGCCCCCCTCTCCCCTTCCCTCCCTTCCTCCTTCTCCTTCCCTCCCTTCCATTCCGGACGCCTCTGGAGGCTTCCGGCGGTGTCGCAGAGGCCTCTGGAGGTCCTGGGAGACCCCCAGAGGCCCCTGAGAGCCTCCAGAGTTCCCAGTCGTATCTTTTTCTTTGAAACAACAAAACGCGTACACAAAGCATATGTATATGATTTCTTCTGTCCTCTTTCCTCTTTCCTCTTTCCTTCCTCTTCCCTCCTCCTCTTCCTCCTCCTGTGCCTCCTCCTCCTCCCTCGTCCTGCACACCCCATTCCTCCTCCCCCTCGTCCTTGTCCTCGTCCTCCTCCTTCTCCTGTTTCCTCGTCCCCCTCCTCCTTCGTCATCCCTCGTCTTCCTCCTCCTCCTCCTCCTCTCTCGTCCTCCTTCGTCCTCCCCTCCTAGCCTCCCCTCCTGCAACCTCCCCCTCCCCTCGTGCCTCCTCCCCCCTCCCTCCCGCCCCAGGCCCGGGCCATGGTCGACGCCGCGGAGGCGGCGCTGGAGAAGGCGCGGGGCGCCCACGCCGGTCTGATGCCGCCGCCGCGCTCGCACCTGCGGTCGCCCTCGCGCTCTCGCGCGGAGGGATGGAGGAGGACGTCAGAAGGGGGAACGCAAAGGGGGACAGGCCTTGACGGGGCAGGCATTGTGCCGAAAGGCGAGCCTTGGGCACGAAATCTCTCTGCGGGGGCGGGGGTTGCGCAGAGTGCGCACGCAGTGGAGGCATGAGGGGCAGGGCACAACCGATAAGGGGCTTGGACCCCCCCAGGGCAGCCAGCGCCTCCACCAGAGGAGGATGGAGGACGACGTCAGATGAGGAACATGTATCGATGCCGCTACCGTTGCGTCGCTTTTCCTTCACGGCGTTTCGCTTGGGAAGGTGGAGGGAAACGTTCGAGGACAGAGGTTCGAGGTTTTGGCACGCTTTTGGCCCTTCTTGGGCCTCCGTGGAGCCTCTTCGGCGCCTCCGTGGAGCCTCTTCGGCGCCACGGCTGGATTCCTGTCGAAATCCTGGTCGGAACGCATTCCTGGAGAAGTCCAAGGCCCGATCTTTGAGCGGGCAGGAGCACGAGGGAGAAGGAGGAGGAGGAAGAGGAGGCGGTGGAGGAGGCGGAGGAGGAGGCGGAGGAGGAGGAGGAGGAGGAGGAGGAGGAGGAGGAGGAGGAGGAGGAGGAGCCGGAGGAGGAGGAGGAGGAGGAGGAGGAGGAGGATATAGTTCCATATCGAGGGTTTTCATAGAGGTATCGAAGGACCTCATGAGATCCCATTGCTGGACGGTTTCTTGGGTCTCCTGGGGGGCCCTCGTCGCCACGGCAGGGTTCACTCCGAAATTCTGGTCCTTATGGTCCCCCAGGGGGAGGAGGATGGAGGATGGATGAGGAGGGTGGATGAGGAGGGTGGGCGATGGTGGAGGAGAGAGGAAGGAAGAGGAAACGGAGAAGGAGGAGGAGGAAGAGTTTGGAGCAGGGAGTAATATGGAGGGAGGAGGGAGGACGATAGCTGGAGGATGGAGGGGATGATCGAAGATAGGAGGAAGATGGAGGAGGATTGAGGATGGAGTCAAGAGGAGGGCAGGATGGAGAGGAGGAGGAGGTGGAGAAGGAGGACCAGTGTACACCCACAATTTATCAATGATGTCGGATGCAGCCCTCACTCCAAGCTCCTTCTTTATAGGCCCCTACAAGGGTTCGTGCTTACTAAGAGAAGTGCCCCGTCGGGAGGCAACCATTTGAAGATCATGAAGCGTGCCGAAACACCAAGCTCGGGACCCCAACGCCACGAATCAACTCGACTGTTGCGTCTTGACGATCTTGAGATCTTGGATCGCGCCAGAACGCCGTTCCTGGGATTTCAATACTGCGGATCATCGTAACTGTTGCGCCTTGGCAGTCCTGCATCGTTCCAAAACGTCGTCTCCAGTCCGCTATCGATGGGAAATCCGTGGCACTTCTGCGAACGAATGCGCGCGGCGCTGAGGCGAGAGCCACATTTCGAAAAGAAGCGGCCCTCAACCCGTGGAGCTCCTACAATTGTTTACGGCGAGCATGCGCGGGGCTAAGGCGACAGCAAACTTTTTGAAAAGGAGCCGCCCTCAATCCGTTAAACTCTTATGCGTTTTTTAGACGAATGCACGCAGCGCTAAGGCGAGAGTCACATTTTGGAAGCGTCCCGCCCTGCATCCGTCAGGATCATTAATGGTAAGGACGTCTCAGGTTCAACTCCCGGGCCGCCCTTCCGACTGGCTTCGGTTGGGAGCCTTGAGACGGGGGTCGATGCAAATGGGGACAGCCGGGTCAGTGCGCCCCCGATTCGGGGTGCGACAGGGAGGAGTTACTGATGAGGAAAAGGAACGGAGGAGGATGAGGAGGAGGAGGACGGAGGATGCAGGAAGATGGAGGGAGTATGGAGGAGGAGTGAGAAAAGGGGATGCAAGGATGGAGAGGGTTGCCAACGGTGTCGATTAGGACGCGGGTAAAGTACTACCATCTTCATGCCCTAACAGCTGGGAACAGGTGGAAGCCACACCCACCCACAGGCGAAGACCAGGTGGAAGCCACACCCACCAGCAGGCGAAAGCATGGTGGGAAGGATCCTGCCCTTCCAGGCGGAAGCCGCTCGGTGGGTGTGGCTAAGCCACACCCACCGACAGGCGAAAGGAAACCAGGCGGAAGCCACACCATCGACAGGCGAAAGCCGTCGTTTTTTTACGACGTGGGCAGGTAAATGCCGCACCCACCGACAGGCGAAACGAGAACAGGTGGAAACCACACCCATCGACAGGCGCAAGACCAGGTGGAAGCCACACCCACCGACAGGCCAGGGTGACCACCCAAGTGGGGTTTGCGGCTCGCCTATCCTGATGGGTGGTCAGCAGTAGCACTTCACTGAGGTGCTTGGGCCTTGGTATGAGCAACCACCTCGTGTTTGAGGGGAAAACATGTGGAAGTCTCGTCTGTCCCTCCACTGGTCCTCCTTTCCCTTCCCTCCGTCCTTCTACCTCGTTTTTCGGCAGTCGTTTCTCGGCAGGTGCGCCTCGCCGAAGCGACGGATCATGCCCCCAGTTAGCGACACGATAATGGGTTATGGAATCCATCTGATTCCGGCACCTTGGCACCACCGCCTAGCCCCGCTGAGGGCCGTCCGCCCTGGGGCGCTGTAGACGCAGCCTCCAGCCTCCAGTCTCTAGCCTCCGTCCTTCTGTCTCCTTCGTCTTTCCTTCTCCCTCGTCGGTTTGAGGGCCGCTCCTGGGGACGCCACGGAAAGGCAAGTTCCGGTCCCGTTTCCAGCCGTAGCTTTCAAGAGGGGCGCGAGTGCGCGTGGCGCTCGAATGACGCTTGCCCTCTCTGCTTCCGCGCGGCATTGCAGCAATGCCAAACCGTCAGAAGTAATCCTACCTCCCGCCTGATCCTCCCTCCCCTCCTCATGCTGGCTTAGTATGCCACTCCACTCCTGCGAGTTTACGTTCAGCATCGGCGCTGACAGATCCGTGATCGAAAACTGGCCTGACCTGGCCGAATCCCGAGTGATCCTGGCCAATTCTCTGTACTCCCGCTTCAATCGGGCTCCGTCCCAAGATTAAAGCTGGCCTGATCCGGCTTAGTGGCCCCGTAATCGGGCTTAGCAGCCCTGAATCACTCTTTCGACGACCTCCCAGGAGTTGCCTCTTAATCCCGCCCCTCCTCACTTGTCCCAGGTCCGTCCCCCCTCGTCCCTCCTGTCTCCTCCCTGAAGGCCTTTTAGCTCAAGCAACTTCGGCTTGCTCTGTTCAGAGCTGGGAGCCTACGCCGCATGCGCCAGGATATGTTTTAGATCTCCGCGGATGGCAGCTGGCCTGCGAGGTTCCAGACCAGGTGCCTCGTCCTTCGATGCGGCCATCGAGACGTGTGGGAGGACACAAAAGTGGAGCGCAGTGCTACAATTGTGCCGCGAAGCGTCCCAGCTACGCACGGAAACCAGCCCACGCCACTACAATGCGATTATCAGCACGTGTGGTGAAGGCAGGCAGTGGCGATGGGCGTTGTCAATTCTCGGCGAGATGGTTGGCACGAAGTTGGAGCCCAGTGTCGCCTGTCCCGCAACGCCGGGAGTAGCGCGTGCGAACGACGCACCGAGCCGCAGCAGGTGGCTCCGACGGCCCAGGGCCCCAGGCTGTCCGAGAGAGCTCCCAGGAGGGCCGAGCCGCCCACGGACGAGGATGGTCCGGGAAGGTTCAGGGATGGAGGCGGCCAGAGGCTCCGTGTTTCCCCTTCTGTTGGCCACTCTCCACCTCGAGGCGTGCCCTCAAGAGGTCCCTTGAGGCCCCCGAGATTTGCCCGAGAGGCCCAGACAGAGGGCTCCAAGGAGAGCAGCACGAGGCCTCGAGACAGCCCGCCGCGTGGGCCCCGATGAGGGCATCAAGACAGGGCGAGCCTGCGATCGCAGCGAGCAAGCAAGCAAGGGCCAGCAGCAGCAGAGCCAGCAGGAGCAGTCAAGACAAGCGAGCACCAGCAACATGCAGCAGCAAGCCCAAGGCAGGCCCAACACAGCCCCGATTGGCTTTCCAAGAGGACATGAGTAGTAAAGGGCCGAGCAATTCGTGCCGCAAGCAAGCAGCAGAGCCAGTAGCAGCAGAATTGGCATCGGCAGCCAGGACAAAGCCAGTGAGCAGCAGCAAGGACAATCCGCAGGCAGCAGCAGTCAACAACAGCAGAACTCTACGCCAGCATCAGTCTCTCGTGGACTCCACCGGCGGGTGTACCCTAGGCTTCTGCCGCCGTCGGCCCGAGGCCCGCCTGCGGCCTGGCTACGGGCGGGCCGAAGGAGCTTCCGGGAGGCGCCCAGTGCACCGAGACGGCACTGGCCAGAGCCTCCGAAGTCCAGCAAGCGTCGAATTCCATTGGGCTCTCTTGCGGCTTGCCACCTCCCATTCTACGCTTTTTTTTTTACAGCCGCAGGCGGAAGCGCCAGCGGCGGGAGGTCGCGGGCGGGCTACGGCCGCGACTAAATTGCCGAGCGCGCGCGGGGGCCGCGGATCAGGCGGCGGGGGGGGGGCAGCGCCCAGGGCGGCAGAGCCAACGTGCAATCCAGGGAGTCTGTAACAACCCCTGAACGAGCATGCAACGGTGCATCCAGGGAGTCTGAAGACAGGCACCGAGGAGACCAGGCGCAGCCAAAATGGCGCGTGAGGCGTTCCCAGCAGTTCAGATGCGAACAGAAAGGAACGTTCCCGAGGACATCGATCCAGGGAGTCTGACGGGTAACACAGACTGACTGGGGACATAAGTCCAGCGGAAAAGCCTGACGGCGAACCATTCTACGCACGCGAAGCGTCGAGACGCGGCGCAGAGGTCTCCAAGTGAGCTCCACAGGCACATGTATGCGCACGCGTTGCTTAGGGGGCCACATGCGAACCCTACCCCTGCCCCCCTACGATTTCTGAGGCGGAGGGTGGGGTAGGGTTCGCATGTGGCCCACTATTGCTGTCACTTATGCGTTGGCGTTTGGCCGGTCTCTTGCCAAAATGTGCCGACTATTGCTGCTCGTCGTCGTCGGTCGTCGGTCGTCGGTCGTCGGTCGTCGGTCGTCGGTCATCGGTCGTCGGTCGTCGTCGTCGTCGTCGTCGTCGTCGTCGTCGTCGTCGTCGTCGTCGTCGTCGTCGTCGTCATCATCGTCATCGTCGTCGTCGTGGTAGCCCTTCTTCCTCCTCCGCGAGCTTCCACGCTCACGAATCACAGGGAGACAAAGTGTACTGGGCTCTGTCCCAAACGCCGTGCCCTCGTAGGGCCGTGACTCTGGACGTATGTCGGCGCCTCGCCTCGCCTCGCCACAGGCACATGGGAGTCCCCAGGGCGCCCCAGACGTCCCCAGACGGCTCGAACACGGCACGAGGCTCCCTGAAGATGCTTCCCGGATCTCCCTTGGCGACTGCCAGACCCCCAAGACGGCTCTGCCAGACTCCGAGGATCCCCAGCATGGCGCTAGCAACCAGGAGCGGCCAGCTGCAGCAAGCAGCAAGCAGCAAGCAGCAAGCAGGGGCAAGCAGAACAGGCAAGTAATATCAGCAGCAGCGGTAGCTAGCAACATCCGCGCACGCAGCAGCACGTATTCGACGGCTGCGGCAGCTCCACAGGCACTCCATGTGGCCCTGCAGCGTGCTGCAGGAATCTCGGGGGGCCCAGGGAACACCCCGCTCCGGACAACCACGCCCCAAGAACATGCCACCATGTGCCCCAAGAGGGCCGACGTATTTCACCTGGCTGGGCCGTATCAGATGAGCCAGGCGCCTGTCGCCTGCGGACTCGCCTACGGCCGATATGGGGTGACAGGGGAGACCTCCACGACACCCCACAGAAAGCCCCAGACCCCAAACGAGGCCCCAGAAAGCTCTTCTCCTTGTTCTCTCTTCTCTTCCTCCTTCTCTGCCTCCAGGAGCCTCCCCCCCCTCTCTTTGGTGTCGTTCTCATTCTCCCTTTTGTGCTCGCGTCGGCGGCATCTGTGCGCTCGGGGCCCACAATCTTCCATGGGTAATTACACACTGGTCAGCTACAATGCTGGGATCAAAGCGTGCGAGAAGGGCGAGCAGTGGCAGCGGGCGCTGGCGCTGCTCAGCGAGATGTGGGAGGCGAAGCTGGAACCCGATGTCTTCAGCTGCAGCGGTGGGATCCGCGCGTGCGGGAAGAGTGAGCAGTGGCAGTGGTCGCTGGCGCTGCTCAGCGAGATGTCGGATGCGAAGCTTGAGCCTGACATTATCATCCGCTCATTTCGGGGACGCGTGTGTGCGGTAGGGTCCTCTGAGCCAATCGCGTCCTGGGGCCCCCCTGGGGCTGCCCTGAGCGGCTTCGGCACTGCTGGCGGGACCCCTGGCACTTCACCGAGCGATGACGACGGCTTACGTGATTACACGAGGGCGTGCGCGAAAGACTCCGACGTGGTGGAACTCAGCGGCTGGTCAGGGTTCTCTGACTTCGAAGCCTCCCCGTGTTCATACAAGAGTTTTGGCGAACTCGACGCGCTTTTCGAGCCTGTGGGCGCGCGGTGTTTCGATTATCATAGATTCATCAGGGCCTTCAAGGCATTCGAGGCCATGGGGACTTTCGACTCTTTTGAGAACGTTCGGATGCCTCCTGCAGCCGACTGGTTTGACGTTGAGATGGCCATCCGCTCCCGTCCAGATTTCTTTGCCTTCTTCCAGCCGGTGACGATTAATGCCGTGAAGTCCGTGGCTATGTCGGTGAACAGGTGGAATTTCATGAAGGTCTGCATGATATCGGGGCAAGACTGGATGACCTTCACTCTGCCGTATGCCCTCCTCGTACTGGCGGTCATCCACGACTCTGTGGACTTGACGATGCGAGGGCTGCGGATGCTCGACGCCGGCTGCGGCTCTGGCTTCCTGATGGCGCTGTGGGCAGAGATGACCCGCCCCGACGCGGAGATCTGGGGGCTAGACCAGGACCCCGACATGGTGTACATCGCCCGCCGGGAGCTCTGCGAGTCCAGGGACACCTTCGCAGAGGGCCAGGCAGGCAAATGCAGCAAGATCCGGGTCGCGAGAGGCGACATCCACCGCATGCGGATTGGCAGCCCCTCCGCTGTGGTGTTGGAGAGCTCGTTGGACGAGCTGGAGCCCCTCCCCAGCGTATACTTCGACGTAATCGTCCTCGGCGTGGCAGTGAAGGGCGTGCTGGAGCGAGCGGTGGAGTGCCTGAGCGAGGGTGGTGTGCTCGTTGTCGCGGTCCAGTTGGAGGGCTCGCCCGTGATCTGCGACGCAGGGGCCACGCGGACGGCGAGCCAGTTCCAGGTCTGGCGGAAAGATGGAGGCGTGGCCAGAAGGCTCGGCACCTTGGGCTGCGATGGCGCTGGAGATGGCCTGCGTATCAATTTCATCACATGAGGCTTTCGGCAGGAGGACGGCACGTTTTCTCGCTTTCCGCAGACTTTGGGGCAGGAATCGACCGCCGTTTTTCCGACGAGGGGGAGAACGTACGACCAGGAGGAGTAGGCGGCTCTCATGCGTCGTGCCCTGATGCTGATGGGAAGGAAGCGTTGCACGCAGGAGCGGTGTGGTATGGGCGATCGGACTGCCGTTAGCCCGAAGCGTCATACATTGTGACGTTTGATACGGATCGGGAGCAATCGAGAGGCTTGGCTACGTTGAGCGGCAGCAGCGGTGCCCACTTCTCTGGTGACGGGGGCATCGTTTTGAAGGCGTGATCTCGGAGGGACCAGCCGCCAGTCGACCCCGAGAAGAGAGTTGATGGCCGTGCCTTGTGTGCAGTGTCCGCGTCCTGTCCGTATTGTCCCGCGTTTGCTTGTGGGTTTCGTGCCCGTGTGCCTGGGTCCGCACCTGTGCCGGTGTCCTTTGCCCCTGCGCCTCTATGATTCTCTGCGTGCCCACGTGCCTGCGCCCGTGCCTCGCATTCCATGTCTCCGCCGCTGTCCGCCCACCGCCCCGCTGCCCCCGAGCGCCCTCCCTGTTTTTCTGGGCCCCTCCCGATGCCGCCAGGTGAGCGAGGCAGAGCTGCCCTTCCTGAGGGGTGTTGAGGCGCGGAGGGGCCCAACGGGCAGGGCAGGCCAGGACCTGCCTGGGGCTATGGGTCGAAGCTGCGCTCGACACCTGCAGGTATCAGCAACGAGGGCACGATGTGAGGTACTCTACAAAGGGCCTCGCCCTCGAGGACCGAAGGAGTTGGCATCTCTTCCTCGGCGGGAGGCGGCGGAAGGTAAAACGGAGGCGGCTCCGCCGGCGGTTGGCGGCGGAAGTAAGAGATATGGCAACCTTTTGGGTTCCGGGGTTCCAGGGCCCACCATCATTGTGCACGACTTGCAGTGCGAGCATATACGTGACACGATATGTGAACGACCCTTCCCTGGCGGGGTCCGCGACTTCCCTTTGGCTCGACCGCTAGCGGGGAGCTTCCAAATACGTCTCTTGAGATCTTGTAGGCCGACTTTGGAAAAGCGTGCTGGAATTGTGAAGCTGCATCTTGGGTGCTGACTGGAGTCCTGGCTGAGCTGGGCTGGCTGGCGCTTTGGTAGTTTCTAGGATGGCAGAGGATTGTTTGGAAACGGGCTAGAGTCAAGCGCTAGCTCCCAGAGGAAGGCGAAGGAGAAGGAGGAGAAGGAGGAAGAGGGGAAGGATTATATGGTTTGTTTTAATCCTTGTGACCGTGACGTCCGTCCCCCCCCCCCCCCGCCCCCCCGTGACGGTGCCCATCGCAGGTGGGGGTCCGCCCGTTTCCCCCCCTCTCCCTCTCCCCTCCACGCTCACAACCATGTGGTGGCGCTTGCAGGCTATTGTGGTGGTCACGCGCACCTTGGGATCTTCACAGGCATTGTGTGACAGTCTGGGCTTGTAGACAGAATGTCATTATGTGGCGACCGCAGTGTGTTTGGGACCTGGTGTGGTCATGCTGTTTATCGTGTGCTTGGTGCTCGCAAGTTGTTTGGTATTGGCGCGCTCTGGCGCCCCTCGCCGTCGGACGGTCGCAAGCGCACTGAGGAGTTACAGGCACGCCGCGGTGCTCGCAGGCCATTCGTGCGCTCGCAATGGAAAAGGATGGCCATCACAGTCTGTTGCAGGCAGGCTGGTGGCAGGTTATGTGCGCCAGCATGTGGCGCTCACAGGCGCGTCGCGGTGTTCGCAGGCCTTCGTCTTACCCGCAGGGCCCAAGATATGGTTATGCATACATGTGTTGCGGTTGCCGTGGCGCTTGCAGTCTATCGCGGTGCTCAATGGTATGGTGTGGAATCTAGCAGAAGAGATCCAGCATACCATTGTGCACACATGTGTTGCTGCTGTTGTTCGCAGGCACGATGTGATTCTCGCGTGCACGCTGTGGTGGTCGCAGGCTTCCGTGGTGGCAAACATAGGTTATGGCTGGCTGCCGTTCGCAGGCCATTGTGGCCATGTGGTGCTCGCAATTTTTCTCCAGCCGCAAACCGTTGCGTTAGTCATAAGATCTGGTATACTATTGTGCATGCGCGTGGTGATGAGATTCGCAGGCGCACTGTGGCACTGGAATGCAGGCTATGGTGCTCACAGGATATTGCAGTGATGCCCTCAAGCATTGCGGTGGTCGGAGATTCTCGTGGCACTGGGCAAGGTCCAGCACGCTGTTGAGAGTACGTGTGTTGCTGCCGTTGTTCGCAAGCTCATTGCGGGCTCTGACAGGCAATATGTGGTGCTCGCAGGCTATTAGGATACCTGTCCAGGATGCTGTTGTGCACGTCGTGGTGACCGCAGCCGATTGTCCTACTGGCAGGGGTCAGCACCCCTGCCCGTCAGCTGGTTGCAAGCACGCTGTGTTGCTCTTCGGCGCGCTGTAGGGCACGCAGGCTGTGGCGCTCACAGGCGCACGCACTGCGGCGCACAAGGCCCTGCGATTTCACCCGCCGCTTGCTTGCAACGCACACAGGACTGGCCCAGACATTCGATGTCATGAACCTTTTCAGTACGGGGTCCCCGGAAGTCCCGACCCTTTCCCCAGTGTTGTTTTTTCGTCCCAAGGACTGTTTTGTCAGTCCCAGGGCTGGCGAGGGCCCCTGGAGGCCGAGCCCTGACAAACGCCGTCGTGTTTTTTGTTCACGACGCGAGGATGTCTGGGGCGGGTGGCTGTGGGGCCTGTGGCCGTCATGGGCAGGTGTTGCCGAAGGAGGAGGCGGACATCGCGATCCAGGCGGGCCAGGGGACCTCTGGCGCTGGCCCTCGGGCAACGTGCTCCTCCACCTCCTCCTCCTCCTCCTCCTCCTCCTCTTCCGCCTCCTCCCTCCTCCTCTTCCTCCTCCTCCTCCTCCTCCTCCTTTTCTTTTTCCTTCTCCTCCTCCTCCTCCTCCTCCTCCTCCTCCTCCTCCTCCTCCTCCTCCCCCTCCCCCTCCTCCCTTATGGCGTAGAGGGCTTCTTGGAGGCGCGCCGCTGCCGCTTCTTTGCCGCCGCTCTCTCTTGCTTGCTGTGTTGTGTTCGTACCTCGGACGCTTCCCTACTGCCCCGCATCATCCCCCTTCCAGCAAATCGGGATTCGAAGGGGCTGTTCGCCGGTCTCTGCTTCTGGAGGCCCGGGTGCCGCCAGACACTGGTTTGGGATGGGGAATTGCCCCACGTGGACTTTTCAGGAGGGGAGACTCGATTTTGAGCGGACTTCTCTCCTTTTCGTCCTCCTGCTGTGCTTTCTATATGTTGATCCTCTCGTCTTCCTGCTCCTCATCCTCATCATGCTCCTTCCGGGCCGGCTTCTCGTCCATGCCGTCGTCCTTGTCCTGATCGTCGTTGTCATCGTCGTCTTTGTCCTCGTCCTTGGTTTCCCCCTGTCCTCTTGCTCCTCCTCTGCTCGTTTCCCTGCCCTATGGTGTCCTCCTTCCCCTCCTTCTCCTCCTGCTCCTCCTTCTGCTCCTGCTCCTTCTCCTCCTCCTCCTCCTCCTCCTCCTCCTCCGCCGCCGCCGCCGCCCCCTCCTCCTCGTCCTCCTCCTCCTGCTGCCTTCCATGCTCGCGAACCTCGAAGCATCCAGCAAGCCGCATTTCAAACCATACGGCTTGCTGATTTGATGCGAGAGCTGGGCCTGGCAATCGAACGGTTCCAGGCGGCGCTTCAGCCTCCAAATCGACTCCATGCGGAGACCCCGCAATCAAGGATCGGTTCGGCCAAATGACCCCTTGGTGCCCTCGAAGCCTGCGGGGCACAGCGCAAAGCTGAGTGTCCAGATTCATCACAATAACAGGAAACTGGACTTGCAACTCGGTCTCCAGGAGTCTTCATATCGCCAGCCGTTCCATCTCGCACGGCGCTCAAGCATCCTCTCCGCGTGGCTAGGCTGGGAGGGGGATGTTGGTTGTGACGCAGGAATAAGAGGAACGGCAAGCCCTCCCACCATGGACTGAAGGACCGAAGGGACTTAGGCAAGGAGCTTAGGGAGACGACGTAGAGCCATGGCAGCTCAGAGAGCTGGATGAGCTTGCAGTTCGCCAGCGGCAATGGCCCCTGCAGGCAGGTGCGAAAACTAGCCCTCACACCCTCCTCTCGCAATCGAACGGCAGGGAGGCGGTGAGGGACCCTTGGTCTTGATTTCATCAGCTCTCGATTGACTGCCAAACTCCGCTTTCCCGCGCGTCCTCACCTCCTCACCTGGGCTACCTGTCGCCCTCGCGCGCAGCACGGCTGATATGAATTTCTTTGTGGGTATCGCACGCAGCACTTTCACGAAGGAGTCGCAGCATGCGGATTTTTAGGGTGAGGCATGGTCGGGGCACGTTGACGTGGCTGATTGATGTGGGCCTCGAGGGCAAATGGCGAAACATACATGCGCACGCCAGGGGCATGCGAGTACCTAGTGCGGAATCGCCGACCTCGTCCTCATCGTCATCGTTCTCATCCAAGGCTGCGCCCTCGTCCTAGTCCAAGTCCTGCTTCTCGTTGTCGTTGTCGTCGTCGTCGTCCTCCGTCTTCTCCTCCTCCTCCTCCTCCTTCTCCTCCTCCCATCCTCTTCCTCCTCCTCCTCCTCCTCCTCCTCCTCCTCCTTCATCCCCCTCCTGCACCCCACCGCCTCGTTCTGCCGAGTTGGCTTTGCCTGCAGCTGGGGAGGCCTCCGAGCAGGCTGCGGGGGCGGTCCAGCGAGCGATCGGCGAGGCCCGCGGGTTCATGGCCAGCAAGTCGATAGAGGCCAGCCTCATCTCGCACGCAGCTCTCTCTCTCTCTCTCTCTCTCTTTCTTTCTGCCGCTCGGCTTGGGAAGGGGGGACGGAGAAAGGGGGGGGAGGGGGGCGGGGAGAGAAGACGAGTGCGCAGAGGGGGGAGGCGAGGCGCGGGGAGGGGGGAGGGCGGAGAGGGGGGGGGTGGGGCAAGCCAGGCGCGCTTGCGCCATAGCTGACATCCTACCCCATTCCACCCATCCCTTCCCATAGCGCTGGTGCTTTCTCTATCCGCGGACGCGTGTCATAGCGGACCTGGCGCTCACCCCGCAAAAAAATAGCCTGGCGAAGGACCCAACCATACGCAAGCGTGAATACCGCAATTGTGAATACTATCTTCGCCCGCGCTCCTTATGTGGCCACGGCTTCCCGCCGGAACCCGACATGCTCAGGAACACGTTCGTGGCCGTCTTTGCGGGCGCCGAAGACGACAAGGACGGCGTCCGTTTGACCGAGGATCAGAAGCAGGAGAGGGCTTTGAGAGCCATGAAGGAGGAGGTGGCGTTGCACGTCGACAAGGCAGAGTACGACGCCCAGCCGCGGTTGTTGAAGCAACACAACTATGGGGCCACGATGCTCGTGAGGGGTGTGCCGACATGGCCCGTGGCCGCCATGCGAACCCTGCCAGTGGCGCCTTCGGTGGAGCTCCCTGTGTGGCCACGATCCTCGTGTGTGGCGTGCCGAAATGCCCCGAGGCCGCCATGCGAACCTTGCCACTAGCGCCTTCGGTGGAACTCCCATGGGGCCACGATCTCCGTGAGGGGTGTGCCGAAATAGCCCGAGGCCGCCATTGGCGCCTTCGGCGAAGCTCCCGATGCGGTCGCGATTCTCGTGAGGGGTGCGCCGAAATGGCCCGAGGCCGCCACGCGAGCCCTGCCGCTGGCGCCTTCGGCGGGGCTCTCTATGTGGCCACGATCCCCGTGAGGGGTGTGCCGAAATGGCCCAGGGCCGCCGCCATGCGAACCCTGCCACTGGCGCCTTCTGTGGAGCTCACATGCGGCCGCGATCTTCGTGAGAGGTGTGCCGAAATGGCCCGAGGCCGCCGCGCGGACCCTGCCAGCCTTTGGGGGCCTTCGACGAAGCTCCCTGCGTGGCCACGAGAGGGGTGTGCCGAAGTGGCCCGAGGCCGCCATGCGCCCCCTGCCACTGGAGCCTTCGGTGGAGCTATTTATGGGCCACGATCCTCGTGACGGGTGTGCCGAAATGGCCCGAGGCCGCCATGCGAACCCTGCCACTGGCGCCTTCGGTGGAGCTCCCTATGGGGCCGCGATCCTTGCCAGGGGTGTGCCGGATTTGCCCGAGGCCGCCATGCGAACCCTGCCACAGGGGTGTGCTGAAATGGCCCGAGGCCGCCGTGCGAACCCTGCCACTGGCGCCTTCGGTGGAGCTCCCTATGGGGTCACGATCCTCGTGAGGGGTGCGCCGAAGTGGCCCGGAGCCGCCATGCGAACCCTGCCACTGGCGCCTTCTGTGGAGCTCCCGATGTGGCCACGATCCTTGTGATGGGTGTGCCGAAATAGCCCGAGGCCGCCATGCGAACCCTGCCGCTGGCGCCTTCTGTAGAGCTCCTTTATGTGGCCACGATCCTCGTGAGGGATGTGCCGAAAAAGGCCCGAGGCCGCCATGGGAACCCTGCCGCTGTGACCTTCGGTGGGGCTCCCTATGGGGCCACGATCTTTGTGAGGGGTGTGCCGAAATGGCCCCAGGCGAGGAACGCGGGGCACCGTCTTTTTAAAACGAGGACCCACCACCACAGGATGGTCGGGAAAACCAGCTGATCATGCGCAGTCGGAATTTGGGGGATCCATATATAGGTGGAGGAGGAGGAGGAGGAGGACGAGGAGGAGGAGGAGGAGGAGGAGGAGGAGGAAAAGGAGGAGGAGGAGGAGGAGGAGGAGGAGGAGGAGGAGGACGACGAAGTACCCCAGCGCCGACGGCGTGCTCCTCGTGAGTGACAGTTACGGGCGCATCAACGTGATTGGCCTGGCCTGGCTGCGCCGGGCGTGCCGGGACAAGCTGGATCTCCTCCAGAGCTTGCTCCCCGCTTCGGGCGTCCACGTGCAAAGCCACGCGGGCGCCATGATCATAGCGACCATCTCTGTCCAGCACGGCGCGCTCCGGCCGCGGGCCGCCCAGGGGTGAGCAATCGTGTTTTTCGTAATTATTTCTTGTCTTAGCCGTGTACCGTGCAAGAATGAGCTCGACTGGGGAAAACGGAAGACACCTATTGTTGCCTTGCGAGCTTGCTTTTCGGTTCTGGGCCCCTGGGGCCCGCGTCGCGCCTCCGCCCCACCTCGCTTTCGGTGTTCCTCCTCCGCCTCTTCCTGCTCCTCCCACGCCGCTGCTTCGCTTTTATCCCAGCCCCCGCTCCTCCTCTCCTCTCCCCTTCCTCCCCCCGCTCCTTGCCCATGAGGGGGGGGCTCAGACCCCCCCGCCGCGCGCCCGTCTCCTCCGCCTTACTTTTCCTCCGCGCCCTCTCCTCAGTCCCCCCTCTCCCTCCTCGCCTCCTTGCCGCTCTCGTCTGCTGCGCCGGCTCGGGCGCACGGTGGCGAAAGTGGTATGCGCGTTGCGTCGCGTCGTGTCTCGTTGGCGCCGCCCGCTTCTGCCCGAGTCGGCGCGTTGCGCCCAGGACTTCGTCGCCCCCTGCTGCTGCTGCTGCTGCTGCTGCTGCTGCTGCTGCTGCTGCTGCTGCTGCTGCTGCTGCTGCTGCTGCTGCTGCTGGCCCGCCGCCCCCCCCCCCTTCTTCTTTTTAGCGGAGGAGGCGGAGGAGGACGGGGAGGTGGAAAAAGGACAGGGAGGGGGAGGAGGAGGAGGAGGAGGAGGAGGAGGAGGAGGAGGAGGAGGA